TTTTCAGTATACGAGCGAGAGAAAAAAAACGGTAAAAATGTGGTCGTTTTCCGGTCGGAAAATACAGTGCAGTCGGAAATTAAGCGATCGTTTAAAAAGTGGGAAGTTGGGCAAACTGAGTACTGTGGTTCAAGTGATATTAGCATCATTCTCATTTAGTTTTAACTCGTACAATATTTATTCACTCACTGTATTGTCTTCACTTTCAGGTTAGTTCTTCCGCCGATTTCTCGCAACCAACAACGTGATTTTTTATTTGGGATTTCGAGAAACATAACATGAATCGTTACGGCATTCATAACACAACACCTTGTCATGTTTCAACGTTTAAGTAGTCAGTTAACAAGGTCTTTCATAGTAGCATTTCTATGGGATTGACGTACTAGCATGAATGGGTTCAATTATCAGTGTTCACTGATGACGTCATTTGACTGTCCCTCTAGAGGCGAAATGACGCCAGGAAAAGCGGAAGTTTGTCGTCTGCTTCACAGCCCGTTTTATACCCGATATTTAGGGCATTTCGCAGCACATATAAGTTATTTTTATCGACAGAATTCATTCATAGATCTCAGATTTCATGTACAGAGTGTCAAAAGCCACACCTCTGCTCCCCTTTAACACTTCAATTTGAAAATGTTACCTTTAACACTGCCCTTTAATCGGTTTAATTATGCTTAATCTGGTTAATTAAGGCTAATCTGGTTAACCACGTTGTTTCAATCTACTTAGCTGTATACGAAGATGCCAACCCCGGGTTCTGCATCGGGGATGTACATGCTGTGGATAATGACATAGACGCCGCTCACACAATACAGTACACTTGGTTATCGGGAAACGAAGACGATTTGTTCTTAATAGGCCACGACGGTAAGCGCACATGGCACCAGACGGAGCACGTATACCACTGGAATATTGTGTGTTCAGATATTTACTAGTAAATAACAACATTCCGTTAAATATGTCATTCCAACGAACTCGAATAATAATTATAATTTGGTATGTCAAACATTTTATATCATTTATAGGAATGCTGTATGTCATAAAACAACTCGATCGGGAGGCAATGCCTGCAGAAATTCAACTGAGGTTCCAGGCTCATGACAATTCCCTATACCCACCAGTTATCGGTAATATTATGATAGAAATAATAGATGTCAATGACAACGCTCCATTTTTTAATCAGGTGATGAAATTGTAATTTCTTAGCACGCGATCACCATTGGCACACTGAGAACAGCCTGAGTTGAATTTATAATAAATACACATCGATATATTTGTCTAACTCTTCATATGAGAATATTGATGGTGAATGTCATTTATTTTGGTCATAACAGTGTAAGTATTTTGTGGAATTGAATCTCTCTTCTCAAATAAAATGTAGTGTATTCAGTGTAAGTGTAGTGTATTCATTCAAATCAAAAGATAGTTGTATGCATGTTTATTAAGGTTTTGTTCATACATGAGTTGTTGAACACACTATATAGTTTATAATTTCATTCAACTTTTTTTTCAGCCAAAATTGGAGAAAAATAAAATGTCAAAAAATTATATTATTATTATATGTAATGTTCTTGTGCAATCGATAATTATGAAAATTATTTATGGGTCCATGGGAAATTTCGTTATGAATTATTCCTAATTGAAATTTCTGAATTATCTTGTCGAAAAACGAAAAAAATTCACAATGTCGAAAACGGAAAGTCTTCATCGTAGTGTTAAAATTGCAATTTGTATCTTTCACTCACATCATGAAATAAAATCCGTCGATACATTATATGTGTCAGGAATTTACACTAGGCTGTGGACATTAATATCAACATTATTATATAAATTCTACATCCCCAGACTGCCATATTTGTCAACTTGAAGGAAAATGTGACAGTGGAAGTTGAAGTTGCGATATTAATCGCAACTGACCTTGACGTAACGTCACCAAACTCTGACGTAAATTACAATATCACAGGTAAAGTACTTTACGTATGAATTTGCTATGCATTTTAATTTAAACTCGATCCTTGGTGGATACTTATAACAACCCTGTTTATTTATATATCCATAGACGGGAACGAGGACAAAACTTTCCACATAGACGCCGCGAGTGGCAATCTCACCAGCGTTCGTTCGTCAGATTACGAAACTATGAAATCACGCATTTTGCGCGTGATAGCTGAAGACATGGGTGTTCCACCACTGACGTCATCAATTACCGTGTATGTGGATATCATACCTGTGAACGAGTTCCCACCAGTTATCACTAGTGGTTACGCTTATGACGTGTCCAGAGATGCAAATATAGGTGAGAGGACGTTTAACTGTCATTCGAAGTTATTGGGAAGCACCTCTTAAAGACATCTCCATAATTGTTGTCGAGAATACCACGGCCTGTCATCAATAGGCACGTAGTTTGTTATTGTTAAAACTCAATCAAACGAGGTACGTCTTACTTTATTCCAATTTAGGGCACATTTTAGGCAAAGTACTCTCAAAAGACGAAGACTCTGGGAGAGATGGCGAAGTCAGATTTCATATCCAATCAGCGATTACTTTGCCCATTATTGTTGATCACGTGACCGGAGAACTAATCTTAATATCAACTTTAGATCGAGAAATAAATACCTCATTTGAGTTCGTCGTTATAGTTACGGATAACCCAGAAAACCCAAATGATATCTTGTCAGCGACCCAAACCATTGTGGTGAACATCAACGACGCCAATCAACATGCCCCTGAATTTAATCATGTACGTATTATAAGTAATATCTGATAAGAAAATATTTTATCTTAGCAACAAACTCTTCCGGTTTCTGCTCTTATATGTATACATTCGTATGACTATAGATCTGCACGATTGACAGGTAGAAATTCTCACTAGTTCATACAAATATGACCAAGCAAGTATAAAAAATCCCCTAATAACTGTTTTCAAAATTGACGCGAATGAATAACGTCCAGTAAATTCAAATATTTAAGCGCACGATTACTGTAAATTTGTTTTCACATAACCTTGTAGGGATTTGTTGCTCTAGGAATGAGGCATACATTCGCATACACAGTATACTATATTCGATTAATGTCCTTTTCTTCTGCAATTACAGAGTACCATGGTTGTACATGTAAAAGAAAATATCACAATAGGAGAACACGTCATAACTTTGGAAGCAACTGATCTTGACATGACGTCACCGAATAACAACATTCATTATAACATTACAGGTTTGTTTTTATTTACTGAGTTGCTGCGGTTTTTATAGACGGCTACAGTTCATGAATCATTCTCAACGGCATATTCTTTTTTATCTACAGCTGGGAACGAGGATGGTGTTTTTATCATTGATGGTACGACTGGTGATGTGACTGTCGCGATGAGTTTGAATAGCATGGGGTACATATTACCTGTTATTGCTTTGGATGGTGGCATTCCTTCACTGACGTCATCAATTACCATATATGTAGATATCATACCTGTGAACCAGTTTAAACCAGTTATCACCAGTGACGTTCATTATAACGTGTCCAGAGACGCAAATATTGGTGAGAACACATTGATATTTGGTATTTGAGATAAATGTTTCTAATGTTTTGAAATAATCTCATTATTGAGTCACCATGACATATTAACATGACCTATATGATGAAATATTGTAATAAGTTAAAAGAAAATTCAATTGCTCACAGGGCACATTTTAGGTCAAGTATTCTCTAAAGACGAAGACAATGGGAGAGATGGTGAAGCCAGGTTCCGTATCGTTTCGGAAAGATCTCTGCCGATTATCATTGATCACGTGACAGGAGAACTGATTTTAATATCTGAATTAGACCGAGAAATGAATGCATCATTTGAGTTCGTCGTCATAGTAACAGACAACCCAGAAAACCCAAATGACATCTTATCAGCGACGCAAACCATTGTGGTGAATATCAACGACGCCAATCAACATGCACCACATTTTCCATCGGTGAGATCCTAAATTTAACTAAATTTATGATGTTATACACTGTTTCAGTGTTACTTCACTTTTCGCTTTTTTAAGATTCAATCAGTAATCTATTGCCTAGCCTGACAAGGTCGCGTGAGTTGCGCCCTCCGCGGTGCTCCAAACCCAATACAGTTAGTGGGGTTTGATGCCGCTCGGCCGGCGAAGGCGCCATTCTTTTAGTTGTGTTGACCATTTACGCAAACATATCTATATGTATTTATTGGTGCTGAAACGAATTGATATCCTGAGCACAATAGAAAGAATAATTACAGCAACTACTGCTATAAAATAATTGTAATCCCAGCAATACATGGGAATTTTAATCACACGGGGTACATTTGTTTATGGAATCAGTTAGGTTAGTTGAAATGGCATAAATGTAGCATTTACAATATGTGTTTTAATACACCCTATGTACACGACATCCCATATCATACGATTAATGTTGTATCATTTCAGAGTACAATGATTGTACACGTAAAAGAAAATATCACAGTAGGGGAAAACCTCATAACATTAAAAGCAACTGATCTCGACATGACGTCACCGAACAAAGACATTTACTATAACATCACAGGTTTGTTTTTATTTACATATTTTGATTCTATTTGATAGCCGACGTTTTAAAAATGGGTTATTTTTAGTAAATTTCATGCGATTATTCTCAATGTTTTTGACAGCTGGGAACGAGGATGGCCGATTTATCATTGATGACACGAGCGGAGATGTGACTGTTGCGACGACTTTAGATTCCACAAAGTCGTATATATTACGTGTTAGTGCTGTAGATGGAGGCATTCCTTCACTGACGTCATCGATTACCATATATGTAGATATCATATCTGTGAATCAGTTTAAACCAGTGATCACCAGTGGTTTTATTTATAACGTGTCTAGAGATGCAGATATTGGTAAGTAAAATATATATTATATTATATATTATATATTATATATTATATATATATATATTATCCTAATAAATTTTAAAGACTATTCGATTGCAACGATTGGTCATCGTTTTAGCAAAATCGCATGTTTTTTCATTAGATTCCATAGAATATGAACTATTTAGTTATAATCAATTCATCCAATAACCATAACACTGGCCTGTTTATATATTTTAGGATATATTTTAGGAAAGGTACTGTCAACCGATGAAGATGATGGTAGAGATGGTGAAGTTGGATTTAATATAGATCCAGAGAGAGCTTTACCATTTGTTATTGATCACGTGACCGGGGAAATAATGTTGATATCGAAATTAGAACGCGAAGCGAATGCATCATTTGAGTTCGTCGTTATAGTGACAGATAACCCAGATGATTCAAATGATATTTTGTCAGCGACGCAAACCATTGTAGTGAATATCAATGACGTCAATCAACATACACCATATTTTTCATCAGTGAGTCAAATTCCATATTCTTCTTTACCAACTAACACTCAAAAGATTGGATGAACTGATTTTTTAGTGTAGCTAATCACATTAATGTCTTTATGATGGGAATATTTGAACTTTTCATTTTTAGTTCCACACACCACATCAAATTTAGTAGGTTTCTCGGCCATTAGAAATAGAACAATTATGGTCAGTGTAATTATTCAAATTAGCAGATGATATGTGTTTATTTTGTAGGCATTAAATCCTACTATTTTGATGGTTTAGCAATTTCATCGAGTTTCAAGTTCACAACTCTTTGGCTGTTACATACATATATATAGACATCGGTCCATTGACTAAAATGGTAAATTTAAAACGAACACGAGAATAGTCAATTTTATATATTGTTCTGTATCTCATGATGGACAAAAAATCTAAAGGTTCTGCTACGATGTGTTGAAGCAGCACTTATTCAATGAATCATTACTAGGCCATGATAAAATTGGTAAATATGCTGTGTATACACTGTATATGACAAGTCGTTAATGTTCTATATTACAGAGTACCATGGTTGTGCATGTAAAAGAAAATATCACAATAGGAGAACACGTCATAACATTGGAAGCAACTGATCTTGACATGACGTCACCCAATAATGACATTCATTATAACATTACAGGTAAACCCGTTTCAGAAATAATTCGGTTCCACGACATCGTTTTTTCACCACAGGGTGATTATCTATTATATTTTATCAACAGCTGGGAACGAGGATGGCCGATTTATCATTGATGACACGAGCGGAGATGTGACTGTTGCGGCAACTTTAGATGCAACAAAGTCGTACGCATTACGTATTAATGCTGTAGATGGAGGCATTCCTCCACTGACGTCATCGATTACCATATATGTAGATATTAAACCTGTGAACCAGTTTAAACCAGTGATCACCAGTGGTTTTATTTATAACGTGTCTAGAGATGCACCAGTAGGTAAGGAACCCCGATGATATCATTTCGTGATGTTATATATTTGGGGATGAGATGTATTATTTTTTGTGGTAACGTGTAATGGATACATACGACGCATTCAATTATCGGAATTTATTTGTAACTTTCTTCTTATTTTTTGAATAGGGATAAGAAACATGCAAATATGTGCAAATATCTTGAGAGCCACATTCATATTAATATTTGATATTGTTTTATTATTATTGATCATGTATACAGAAACCAAGGAATTATGCGCAATATGAAAAATACAAAAAAAAGTCAATAAAAAACAAGACCAGTTTAGTTACTTTGTATAATAAAGAATTGTTTCCAATCTACAGAAACGCTTAACAGTTGAAAACAAACTATAATAAAGAATAAAATCTATTTTAACATTATAAGTGGTTTTAAAAGTGTACAATAATCCATAAACCAAGGCGTGGAAGATAACTGTTCCTTTTTGTTACTATTCACCCAAAAAGTCCATGATATGTATAAACAAACTTGGTTTACAGATCTCAACAACTATTCTAAACTCGATAAATACAAAGATTTTAAGATCGATTTTGAATGTAAAAATATTTGCCTCTGATTAAATATAACAAGTTACGTTCTGCGCTATGTCAGCTTAGAACATCTTCCAACAACCTTCGGGTTGAATCTGATCGTAAATTAAACATACCAAGGAATAAGAGAATCTGTAAATTATGTAATTTACGGTTGGTTGAGGGTGAATATCATTTTTGCCTTGTATGCCCACGTTAGGAAAATCTTAGAAAAAAATATTTATCTATATAAATCAGTCAAATCAGACTTCAAATTTCTTCGTTTAATGCAGTTTGACAACTTATTTGTATTTCAAATTTTTAAATTTGTATTCTACGCTTCTAAACACAGAGAAAATCTACTTAACCAGTTGTGACTTGAAGATTCAATGATTATTTAAAGAAATCCGTCTTCATGTATTGTTTTTTTTCTATTTTTGGTTTATTGTGCCATAGTCCTGAGGCCATTGTACTGAATAAAATTTATATTCATTCATATTCATAATTCATAAACAAGAATCGTTTTAATGTGCAGGTTTTGGTTAGAAATCCCTTAATTTGTATGCGAATGTTCGAGTTACACCAATAAGGTCAGATCCCAAGTGCACACCACGTTGACCATATATCGTAATAAAATGAATAAATTTGTTTCATTCAAATTGGTATGTCGTCTTTATGTAAATTACATAATAAAACAAAATCATTACCATATTTATTAAGTACAGACTTCCATTTAGTTGGTTATCGTTACAATGTTACAGTAACCTATTCACACAAAAAAACCTTACACACGGTGATAGCGTGTGGAGCAAGAAACCCTCCATATTTGTGTTCATTTTTCGAGTTGTCCTTTTTGATCAGTTTTGTAGTTCCGAATTAAACTGAAAAAAACACATAATGTTAATATGAGTAGAATTTGGGAGAACGGACGATAAATATGTCAATTTTGATGATGGCAAACGTTTCAACACAGTAATTTTTATCAACAGCTGACAGGTGCTTTGATGACCAAGACTTAAGTATGTTTTTTAATTTAATTTACTTTGGGACTGAAATTCAATTATGTTCAACGGAATCCGAATGTTAATAATATCAAGGGGAAATCTTCTCTTCTCTCGGGGTCTCCACACTTGCCAGGGGAGAATCTCGTCTCGTCTCTCTATCGCGTCCCCTTGAGGTACGGGATCGGGAAAGTCACTTTAACTTTACAGTCAAATAAGGCACACACAACGAAATACGTTTCAGCTCTCGTCTTAGTCGATCTTTTGGAGCACTCTATAAGACACAGCGCCCTGGGGAAAAGTCCCCAAGACTCTCACAAGGCTGAACCAAGACTCGCCCAAGACTGGACTCTCTCAAGGCTCGCCCCTGGACTCTCTCGGACTGCGTCTGTCGTGGAGTATTCGCCAAGACCAACTCAAACTCTCTTTATTCATTTTCAAAACTCTAACCAATTACAAAGCAGTAAAAAGACTCTAGGGCGTAACCTTCAATCATAAAGCCAATCACACTAAGTACTGAGTACGTCATATCTTTTGATTAATCGTTCACTACATTAATAACTACGGATGTCAGAATAGCGACGGTATCTTGTAATTAGTTCCAAACCACTGAGCCAAGTTCCGTCCAAAACTTCAAATAGGCCTACACGATGACAGACATAACACAGCAATTCAGCTAATAATCAGCTAATTAAGTCGGTCAACAGATACGCGAAAACAAATTCATGACAATAACGTCAATTGACCACCGTGACGTGACCATAAAACGTCATACTGAAGATTAAACTCCAATATTGTTTTCCAATCTTAAAAGCTTACGATTTTTCAAAATTTTCCTTTAAACCACTGCACTGCTGTAAGTCCGAACGTACAGTCGCAGCTATAGACATTAATAATTCGGAGCCATCGAGAAACAAGGTTGTATCATTGACATATTGTGGTATCACATATTCCACGTCAATGATTTTAATATCAGATACATATTATGGGAAATGTATATTTCTCGTTCTAGTATCAGAATTGTTTGCCAACAGTTCATAGTTTTCAGAGTAGCAATACTCTACATGCAATCTTAAAGTCTGGTGGTCGTCGCGCAGCGCGTGTTCGAATTTCATGTTAACAAACGAGAGGCTGAATTGTTCGAAATACGGACATCGAGTTACAAAATGACCACGCCCATATTTCAGAAACTACTTTTGCGAAACCACTCTCAAATTGTAACTCGAACTTTTAATAACACTTAATCGAACTTCTAGTTACGGGAAACACATATTTTTTTATTTTTAGTAATCGTGTGTAGACATTCTCACGTTTGCAATCGCAGACTCACTTGTTGTTAATTAAGGTCCAAGCACCAATCAAACATTATTGCACGTAACATTGGCAAACAATTGAGCAATACGTTTGAGTAGCGTCAGTTGTGTGACGTTCGACACTCGTTTGTGTCTGCTTTTACAAAGTTCTTTCTCTCAAATATCCCACTACCCTAACGTGAGACCGGTTACATAATATGGAAATAACAGTCGTAACAAATATTATGTATTAAACATGCAATATTTTATTGTGATTTTTTAAAATGTTACCACTGAGGACATTGCTTTTTCATTCACAGGGCAAACTGTTGGTAAGATTCTCTCACAAGACGGGGATGATGGAAGATATGGCGAAGTCAGGTTCAGTATATATTCAGAGAAAACTCTGCCGATTGTTATTGATCACGTGACCGGAGAACTTATCTTAGTATCAACTTTAGACCGAGAAGTGGACATGTTATTTGAGTTTGTCGTGACAGTGACAGATAACCCAGACGATCCAAATGATATCTTGTCATCGACACAAACTATTGTGGTGTACATCAACGACGCCAATCAACATGCGCCTGAATTGCCATATGTAATTACAAATCTATGTTATAATCATCGTAAATAATAATTAGTATGCTTTACAAACAAACTATGTCAAATTATGATAAACACCGTCGTCATATAAAATCAAAACCACGAATTTTAAGTGGTTTATTTCTAGATTGAATTAATTTCCGATATTTGTTTTCCAAAAATTGACTTCAAGCAACCTATTCTGATTGAGAGGTGCGTTTGTATAATTCTATTACATTGTTTGTGACGACGGTTTCATTTATATTTTATAATAAATACAACTGACAATGACACAACGTCGTCGAACAGAGGTGAAGCGCTTGCTGGGATTGGGAGATTGAACCCCGTGTTTATTTTTGTATTGTATATTCTTTTGCAAGTAATTACGTTACTGCGTGAATACAATTCTTTTTTTTTTATACAATCATATGCCAGATTTCAGCGTGTCACTATCCTAGGTATAAACACCGTATACAATAAATCACACGTATATCTATGTTGTATCATTTCAGAGTACAATTGTTGTACATGTATATGAGAATGCCACAGTAGGCGAACACATCGTATCACTAAATGCAACTGACCTTGACATTACGTCATCGAACAATGACATTTACTTTACCATCACGGGTTTGTAACAGCTATTGTACTCGTATTTTCTGAATGTTTTAGCACAAATTCTAATGATACTACTATTAGCGTGACTTTCCATGATATTTATCTTGTATGTTCTTTGACAGACGGTGACGAATATGGCCAGTTTACTGTTGATCCCGCGTCTGGGGTACTGAGTGTCGCGGGATTTCTAGATTGTGAGACAATGACGCCAATGACGTCATACATATTAACTGTAGGTGTTGAAGACGGTGGTACACCTTCACTGACGTCATTCGTTACCATATATGTGGATATCATACCTATGAACGAGTTTCCGCCAGTTATTACCAGTGGTGTTCATTATAACGTGTCTAGAGATGCAGATATAGGTAAGAATCATGATGTCTATGATTGGTACTTATGACGTAGTAACGACTTTCATATGGACACTTGTGAATGGTCAGTTGCTCAGAATATGCTTCACCACACACCTTGTGGAGGTAGGGTTCAAATTAGTGCGATAATAATGAAAGGTGTCGTCTCAGACTAACTAAGAGACGACTGAGAGAACGTACTTGTATTCACGAGACAACAGTATAAACGATGCTATTTTTGCGTTCGCACATGAATCACAGAAATGGTTTCAACTGTACGAAATAAAAGATTGGTTCTCAAAGCTTACTGATACTTTTACACGAAAATACTGGATTTACTCTAACCCACTATTAACTGTCGTGCCGACAAAGAAGACCAATCTATAGTGAACTTAATTATTTTTTTGTAAATATTATATTCTGTCAATAATATAAAAAAATTCTATGTCATTTACAGGATATATACTAGGCACCGTTTTTTCAAACGACCAAGACTTTGGCAGGGATGGCGTCGTAAGATTCAGCATCAAATCAGAGGAAACTTCACCTATCGTGGTTGATCACGCGACGGGAGAGCTTATTCTGATATCCACGTTAGACCAATATTTGAATGAATCACTTGAGTTAATCGTCACTGTAACAGATAATCCGGAAAACCCAACGAATATGTTGTCAGCAACACAAACGATTGTGGTGACAATTAAAGATATCAATCAGTATGCACCTGAATTTGAAACTGTGAGTAAGGACATTAATACTAATATTTCAATTTGCACTTGGACTAAACGTTTACTGTATTAGTTGCTATACACAATTTGTTCTTCATTACAGAGTACAGTTATTGTGCACGTGCAAGAAAACATCACTGCAGGAGAGCCTATCATAACACTTATTGCAACAGACTATGACGTGACGTCACCAAACAATGACATTCGTTATAAGATCACAGGTTTGTTAATAGTGTACTTCATTGATTCTGATTTCTTCAACATAAGCAATTTGCACAATTTGATTTAATTCTAATTGAACTAACTCGTTCCACAGCCGGAGAAGGCAGCGATAGATTTAATATAAACGCAGCGACAGGTGAAATCACCCTCATAGGATCATTGGATTACGAGCTCCCATCGTTCATGACGCCATATACAATACTCGTAACTGCCGAAGACGGTGGCACACCTTCACTGACGTCATCTATCGGTGTATACGTGAAAGTTATCCATGTGAATGAGTTCACACCAGTTATTACCAGCGGTTCGTCTTATAATGTATCAGAACACGCACTTATAGGTAAATATACGGGTTTACTGTCATCCTGTGATATCCACTTACGTTATTGGCTGGTAGTTATTTGCCGCAATGGACACAGTCGTACAATGTCACAGACTTTCCCGAAATCATTATAAACCACATTTTCTATGAATATAATTTGTTTTCGGTGTTGTAATTCTACACAGGTCATGTATTCGGCAAAGTCCTGTCGACGGACCAAGACGCTGGAAGGGATGGTGAAGTCAACTTTAATATTCAATCGGAACACGCTCTACCCATCGCCATTGATTACGCATCGGGGAACCTCTTTTTAATATCTACGCTAGACCGAGAAATTAATTCATCTTATGAGTTTGTGATTATTGTAGCAGATAATGCAGAGAACCCAGGGGATGTGTTGTCAACGTCACACACAATAACGGTCAGCATACTGGACGTCAACGACAATGTCCCCGTGTTTGACCAGGTATGGCAATTTGCAAAAAAAAAAAATACTCTAACTTATCCACATTGATTGTTTAAGATACGTCCATATGACGTATGCAATGTATATAATGCATATATTTGTGATTGTGTTAATTGTGATGTCCTCATTACATTGTTCCATAATTATGAATCGTTCCAGCTATACCCTCTGTCTGTATCCTTAAATGAGTTGACGACCCCGGATGAAATACCTTTCCATGTTTTCTCGGCTAGTGACCCGGATGAGGGCGTGAATTCCCTACTAACGTATGCAATAGAGTGTAAGTAACTCGAGTATGTGAATGGTTACCGTACTTTGTAATTGGAACAAAGTCAATATCGTTTTTCACAATATTGAGGCGTTACCTTCCATCATAGTACCTGCTACGGTCTTTTCTTCCATTTGCTTTTAGCTGGAAATGAAAATGGTGTGTTTAGTATAAACACCGTGACTGGTGAACTAACTCTGGTTGGAGTGTTAGATTACGAAACAACTCCAAAATACGAGCTATGGATTATAGTGCACGACAACGGAAACCCGTCACTGACGTCATCGACCACAATTCACGTAAATGTAGCTCCGGCGAATGAACACGCGCCAGTTCTTACTAGCCCAAGCACGTACTGGTTATCGGAAGACGCCGTCATAGGTAAACATGCACATTTCACAATAACTATTATATTTATATTTGTAATACTTTCAGTGTGTATTTGCTGATGGTTAGATATTATACGATTTCACAGGTACAATTTTCGGTCAGCTACTTGCAACTGATGAAGATGTCGGAGAGGATGGTAATATCAAATTCAGCATTGAGTCTGACGACAACTTACCCATATCAGTCAATCAGGTGACTGGTGAACTGTTTTTGACTGGGATACTGGACAGAGAAGGCAATGCATCATATGAAGTCGTTGCAGTGGCAACAGATACACCTCAGGATTCTTCGAAGGCACTGTCAGGTTCACAAATACTCCGAGTCAATATTGATGACGTCAATGACAACCATCCATTATTTGACGAGGTGATGACTGTTAATACATTTATGTACTTCAATAATATGACAGTAGTAATGATATTTGCTGACTATGATACTGACTATTCTTTCAATTTCTGACTTTATAGGCCTCGTTTGTAGCATCGTTGAGTGAGACAACTACGACCGGATTGCCAGTTTTGAATCTGCTGGCCACCGACCCAGATGATGGAAGCAATGCCGAACTGTTGTTCGCTATAACAGGTGATATATGTAACTACTAAATACCAACTACCTTTCATTTAGTGTTCTGTTACAATCAGTGTCTGATTTACATAATTGTTTGTATTTGTGTGCAGCTGGAAATGATGACAGTGTGTTTGAAATTGACCGTATATCGGGAGAGATATCTTTGATACTAGCTATGGACTATGAATCTGTTAAGTCCTACACATTAAACGTGACTATTTCCGATCAAGGGACTCCTGCTCTGACGTCATCGTCCAAAGTATCAATTGAAGTCACGCCTGAAAATGAATTTGCCCCGATCATCACCAGTGATGTGTTTTATGAGATACGAGAGGATGCAGCTATAGGTAAGACTGATGAACGTAATAGTTAAACTATTCTTCTTCTGAGCAAACCTCACAATAAATGTGTGTTTTAATTTTAATGAAAAGTTCAAGCTTTTGTTGCAATCTGTTATATGTATTTGTAGGTCACTTTATCGGCCACGTTCTGGCAGTCGACGACGACCATGGTCAGGACGGGCACTTCCTTTTCAACATTGAATCTGCAACAGTAACTGCCCCAATAGCCATAGATCACAAGACAGGCGAGCTCTTCTTAGTGTCTAAGCTGGACCGAGAAACAACTTCCTCGTACGAGTTGATTGTCGTGGTAACCGATACTCCGAGAAATCCCGAAGATGCCCGATCGACCTCCGTTACAATAACCATTACTGTTAATGATGCTAATGATAATACACCTAAGTTTGACGTGGTAATGGAACATTGTCTATTTTATTGTCATTCTTTATCTTTGTTTTGCGAATTTAAACAAACTTGTTATTGGCAAACGCACACTTATTGGTGGTTAAATGTATTGCTTACTGTATTTCAGGTTGCCATCGTTGTATCATTACCGGAAATGACGTTGCCTGGTTTAGTTTTGACAACGTTGATGGCATCTGACCCGGATGAAGGAAAGAACGCAGAAATGACCTTCAATATAACAGGTTAGAGCATGTATTTGAATACTGGGGTGGGGTAAAGTGGAGGTGAGGATTTGTCGTGTGGCTTGCGATTTTTTGAAACCAACATTTTGTTCGTGAACAAAATATAGATGTGGTAGTGTGAAAGAATTCAGATCAAAAATAATTTTGATCTAATAATTACATTAGTCACCAATCGTTATAACTGATAATCAACAAATATCACTACACTTTACTGTACAATCTTAACTTTCAAGCTGGGAACGAGGATGGTGTATTTGACCTGGACAGTACAACAGGCCACCTTACCTTACAAGGCCAAGTAAACTACGAATCGAACATCAAATCTTATATTTTGAGTGTGGACGTCACTGATCAGGGCATTCCATCTTTGAAGTCAGTTGGTGTAGTTTACGTCGAAGTTGTCCCACAAAATGAACATGCACCGGTTATCGTCAGTAGATCTCATTATAACATTCCTGAAGATGCACCAAAAGGCAAGTTACTATACACAACATAATACAACACATTCGTCTCCTCATTGCCAGCTTTGTTTTTTTAACGCCATTTAGGGTAGACTGCAGGCTGGCGTCGTTTATTCGCGTAGTACGTATATACAATAATAATGTACATTTCCGATATATATTTCCGACTCTGTAGGTTCGGTTATATGCCAAATTGTCGCCACTGATGACGATGACGGAATGGATGGTGACGTCAGGTTCATTATACAGTCTCCGTCATATATACCGTTCTCAATTGATCACGTGACCGGGGAAGTATTCTTAGTGTCTGATATTGACAGGGAAACGCTTGATTATTATGAATTTGTCGTCATGGTAACTGACCGTTCGGGTAATCCTGTCGATATTTTGTCCGTTTCCCAAACGATTACAGTGGCAGTGGACGATGTAAACGACAATCAGCCTCGTTTTGATTTGGTAAGTGGCAATGTCATAATAGTCAAACGGCGCAACACGCCACCAATTTTCAAATTCAGCTGCAGGAGTGACAATATTTCACGACAATAAGGAATTTATTCTTTACAAACACGGAAATTCCTATGTCTGTTTATCAAAAGTGTTTCGATTACACGACTGCGAGCTTTGTAATCAGGTGTTGATTGCTGCTGATTTCCAATGTTGCCTTATACATGTAGTATTGTAATATAGTATGTTCATCGGCACGTGAAACACAGCTGGTCTGTGATGTGTATGGTACATAAGCTTTTGACAATTTAAGTTGAAACCTGTAGTCAAGTTGTCGTAGAAAAAATCTCAGTACTAAATATTGGGCTAACTGTCACTTTCATGTCACCTTTCTTGTGATTCGCGTACCCTAGCGACGAAGCGCTTCTAGGAAAGATCTATTGGGAATGCACATTTGGTTTGCCCGTTTTACGACCCATTTATAAACGTGTTTATTCATTACAACTACTATAACCCCACATGTCTTGGCACATTTTGAGGATTAGTGTCAATTTTCAAATACATTGTAGTTTTTTGTAATCTCTAAAATTTGAATATGAAAATTCGTTTCAAATGTGAATATGTATGTTTTAGCAAATATTTGTCGTGTATTCTGCGAATCTTATCATGTTTGTCACGTTGTATACATCAATACGGCAGCGTGTGTTCGACTATTTCGTGTAAGCAAACAATGTATTTTTCAATTTATCTGTTACGTGACGACGGGAATAGTTACAGTACTTGCATGTCAACACTAAATTTATTTATTTGCAGACCAAAATGAGAGTATCAGTGAGTGAAAATGCCTTTATTGGAGAAAATCTGGAAATATTTTCCATCTACGCTTCAGATCAAGACATAGGTAGTAATGCAGAGTTTACATTCCATATAACAGGTATCTAAATACTATAATACCAAACATCCTATCTATTGTAACTAAAATCGGTTTGCAATGTTTTGTGATTTTTTAGCTTTAGTTTAGTTAAAAACATCAACAAGAAAACAAAACACAGATAGAAACACAAAAATTAGCTCAACAAGATTTCCACATCAAAGTTCATACCTAATATAGCCTACAAAGTCACAACAGCGATTTATTTCTAGCAAAGTCCTAACGCGACACCTGCAATAAACAACAAAATACACATTAATACAAGAATATAATGTAAATCTAAGACATAATATAAAAACGATCAATTAAATCAAATTGTTATGTATACATATACTACATAATATATATAAAATTTCACACATATCAAATATACACTACCTTGCCAAATTTGCCAGGTCTTCATTGTCTGTTTAAAATGCAATTTGTCACTAACATATACTAACTATTCCCGGTAATTTATTTCGTTCTTTAATATCTGTAAGAAAACAATGACTAATATATAATGTACAATTCGAATAAACTTTAATTCTACAGGTGGGAATGATGAGGCGATTTTTGGAATGAATACAACCACCGGAGACGTAAGTCTCGTGAGAGCACTGGATTATGAAACAACGAAGTTACACTTGCTGGAATTAACAGTGCGAGATTCTGGTCTCCTGTCGTCCACTGCTACGTTGCAGGTGTTGGTGGGCCATGAAAACGAACACGCTCCAACGATTACTGGGGCCATGCCTTACTTAGATGTCAGTATGCCAGAAGACACAGAGCCTGGTAAGCAGACAGACCTGACTATTGTTGATTTCCAATGATATATCAATTCTGATGATGCAATTATACACTTCAAACTACGTCACATGCAACAAATGAAAGCGATTTCAAGAATATATCACCTGTGCTTCGTAGGTATCTGAGAACGTTCTTGTAAAATGTGTCTAACATAAACATCGATAGTATCAACATTTGCATTTATTCACATGAGCACGTCTGTAACGTCCATCGATGAAAGTACGAATATATGGAGGGTTTCATCTATATTGTCCGCAATGATTCTAACCGACAGAATTGTATTCTACACATGGACTGTTACAGGCCATGTGACGGTATAGCCAAGAACTGATTCAGTGGGTTAAACTGTCAATTATGCTAGTAATTTTCTATTTTGTCACGTGATAGTACAACTAACATTTAGATTATCGTATAAACAAGAACAATTAACGCATTTATTGTTTTTATTTCATAGGAAATGTTGTTTTGACTGTCGAAGGCGACGATCAAGACGATTCAATTGATGGAAAATTTGTATTCAGTCTTGATCCAGGGACACCTTTTATAATTGATCGGTTATCTGGGGAAGTTATTTTGGTGAAAGAACTCGACAGAGAAGCTATCACCTCGCATGAACTAAAAATTACCATTACTGACCTGTCAACAAGTAATGTACTATCTTCGTCCGCGACCTCGACTATAACAGTAGTTGACGTAAATGACAATCCACCGAACTGCACAGTCGATATATCGATGCAGCCCGTGTACGAGAATTTAAACGTAGGTGGCGTAGTTGCGAAACTGTCCTGCAATGATGGAGATACCGGTGTCGGTGGTATTGAGTATAAACTCGTGGCTGGTGAAGGCAGCAATCACTTCAGTATTGACCCACAATCGGGTGCAATCAAAGTGGCAGTCGCTTTAGATTATGAAGTGGAGACTTACTATTCTCTGTACATAGAAGCTGCAGACCATGACATTGTTAGCTTTACCACTTCGTTGAACATCCCAGTGACAGTGATTGACGTGAACGACAATTGGCCGTTGTTTATATTAGACACCAATACGTTAAGTGTCATGGAGAACGTCGTTCCTGGTACAAAAATAGCGAAAGTAGCAGCGTACGACGTCGATAGTGCCCCAAACGCTGATATCTACTATAATATTTTTTCCGGGGACGATGAAGGGCAATTTGAAATTGATTCGTTATCGGGGATTGTGTCTGTTACAGCAACGCTGGATAGAGAAACTATCGAACAGTATGTATTCGTTATACACGCAGCTGACAGCGGTTTCCCCGAACTCACAGGAAGTAGCACAATCACTCTGAATGTATTAGATATAAATGATGAACCACCGTTATACACGGAGAATGTATACAATAACAATGTTGATTCTGACGTCGATATAGGTACTACAATCATGACTGTTACAGCCAATGATCCAGATCTTGGCCCAGGTGGAGAGATTTTGTACAACATTACATACGGCGATGACTTCAACCTCTATGACATTGATCCCGTGACTGGAGACGTGTTAACCACGCATTCGCTTATTGACGCTGCCGGTGTGTACGCTCTCGTTGTAACAGCCTCCGACAAGGGTGACCCTAGTATTGAAACTGATGTTACTGTTGTCATTGAGGTGATGGAAACTATAGCTCCTTTAACAATCCACGATTTCATCTTTGCAATTGCCGAAGACGCCGCGATTGGAAGCGAAGTTGGTACGGTGGTCGGAAACCGCGAAAACCTTTATGTTATTCTTGCGTCCAACGTTGATGGGTATTTCAACATAGATGAGACGACCGGTGTGATCCGCACATCTGACATGCTTGACCGAGAAACTATCGCTGATTACACGTTAGTTGTGCACGCCGAGAGCGAGGACGGGATGTACTTCTCTACGGCCGACGTTAGAATTGTTGTTTTAGATACAAATGACAATACACCGGTATTCGCCAACACGTCGTATTCCGTAGATATCATTGAGAACCTGGCATGTGGTACGTCGGTATTACAGGTGACTGCCTCGGATAAAGATTCGTTACTAAATAGAGCTATTATATATTCGATCGACCAAGCACATACAACTGCCAATGAACATTTTAACATTGACAGCAGGGCTGGTATCATCACCGTCAAAGTTCCACCCGATTATGAACTAACCAACGAAATATCTTTTAATGTCATAGCCACCGATTCTGGATTGGAGCCACGGAGTTCTTCCGTATCCGTTGCCATAGTGATTCTAGATGAGGACTTTGACGGGCTATGCTACGACCCACCAATATACAGCATAGATCTCCGACACGATCGCATTGGTGGGCTAGTGGAGGTTTTGAACAATTCGGACTTTGGATTTGCAGGTTCCAGAAACTACACATATGCACCAGTGGAAGACACCAATGTGTTCACGGTGCATCCGTTTGGGGAGATAACATTGAATGCACCATCGTCGAATGCATTAGTTTCTGGATCCAAAACTGTATTCCGTGTCGTTGCTAGAGTACTGCAAGTAAACGGACGAATATTGACGTCACCTCTAGCGACTGTCCGAGTTGATGTTTATCAAGCAGAGGACCACCTTGTTGATTTCGAACTTGATTTAACTGATGCCGAGTTTCAGCACTATAGGTATGCATACCAACATTTACCGAAATGCTACTACTATATTACAATATATTGTTGATTAATCAAAATAGTATTCATAGATAATTTACAGGTGTATTGTCCAAATAACATGTCATATAACATCTGGTAATTGAATATATTTTGCTCTCTACTCTCAGCAAGGACTTCGTTTCTCAGTTGTCGACGATATTCCCTGAGTGCAGAGTCACAATACATTCAACACAAGAAAACTCACCGACACTCCCTGGCACATTGAGAAGACTACTGCAGTATCGTGCGGAGTAAGTTCCCTTTACACCTACATTTGTAATGTTCATGTCACAGAGACACACCTACACTAACATACGTTTACCAACACTCGGTCGAATGTACGTCATAATCCAGGAACTGATTAATATATCAAAACAACTTCACCTGCACAGATTTGGATTAATGATTATTATTTTGGCTATAGTTAATTTATATTTGATGTGCGGTCATCGCACTTCAAGTGTGTTTATTATAATTGTAAAATGTAACTGGTATTCAAATGAACGTAATGGCTAATTGTAACAACCATAAGCACGTTACCATAACAAAACTACTATGTGTCTCAATTTATTTTTATTTCCCTAGAACTACTATCGTTACTGTTTATGTGGTGACCAATCCTATAAGTGACTTTCTAGACGGGATTGAATTTGACAAGAGATTCATGGACATTGATGAGCTACTTACTACGTTGCAGAAACAGGTGAATGGAACGCCAGCGGACATTTTGATGACAGACAATTTTGCACATTTCCATATACTTAGCGTGACACGTTCTCTGGTGAAGACACCTTGGATTCGGACGATGTTAGGCATTCTGTTTACGACACTGAGTTCATTTGGTGCACTGTGTTTACTGGTTTTAACGCTGTTGCTTTGTTGTTGTAGAAAGAACATGGAGAATGAGTGAGTGTTGAGTTATCTATACGTGTTTTCCATTTCCATTAGGCATTGCAGTATAGATTACCGAGAATGTACTTATGCGGTAATTAATTTGGCAACTGTGACGTTTTCATAATATCAAAATTCTGCTTTATTCATTTTATAGTAAGGTCGCTTCTTCACCACCAGTTAGCAGACAAGTGACACCTAGAGGAGGTTCCCGTGCATCGTCACCTGTGCGTTTTGTTTATACTTTGAGAGATCCATGGAGGACACCAGACGGTAGAGAAGATAGAAGAATAGCTTCTCTGACACACAAGGTACATATACTTAGTATATGATATTGTTATTATCATCAATGAATGTCTTTGAATTTCTCCAACAACAGGTTTCAAAGATCGAAACATTGTTCAACTTCGCTGAAATCACTTGAATGCAATAACAATCACGCCAGAAATGCAAATGTTCCCTAGCTCAAATTCTTACAAAATGTAAACACAACACAGATATTGTAAGCCTTTCTACCTTTAGGTTCCTTGTATTTCTGTAGTATCTTATCAGCAGTTACCCAGATCCACAGGTCATCTGTACTGTGAATACACCTTCACGTACTAGTCTAGTCTGGCGTAATTGAAATGTGCTCTCATATATCGCGCTTCACATAAGCGCGGAAAAATAAAAATACACCGGTTAACACGAACCATATGATTTAAGCTTTCGGCGCTAGGGTCAAAGTTCAAACCGTAATGCCAAATATACACAGTAGGCTAAATATAGTGATGTATATCTATCAAGTCACATAAAATATAATTTACATACATATATATATATCATTTACAATATATTTACTGAACGCAAATCGTTATACCCTGACATGGACATTTTCCAGATTATCAGAATCAAGTGTGTACCATTCCACATTCACTGCGTAGATTTTCTATTACCACAAACATTTATATCCAGCTTCTGTGTATTGACCGGTGTTTGCTACAGGTTTGTAAATTGGTAAATTATAAAGTAAATTATACTCCATCAGTATTTGTAAACAACTATGCATCAAGATAATCGTATGCTACATTAACAGAGTCTCCTGGAAGACGATGACACCGAATCACCAGAGACTTATCGACGAAAAAGGGGAACACTGTTTGAAACTGCCTGGCGATATGGATTTCGTATCAGACGTCACGGAGAAGTGGCCAAACGCTCAGTGGGTGGTGCGAGCAGCGAGGAGAAAGCAGAAATACATGGCAAAGAAAAGAAAATGAATTTCAATGACGAAATTAGTTTGAATTCAGATCCTGTTAACTTTGTCAGATTTGCAGAGCCATTGAATATAAACAACCAGATGTATGACGGTATTGGCCAAGAACAAGGTATGGGTATAACATTATCGTTTAGAAAATGATCAAAAATTATTAAAAAAATGCTTGATAGTAGTATTTCATATTATGATATTGTGTTTTACCAAATGATCATTTGATTTTAAGTATGATTTTTTAAACTTGTTTTACATTCAATGGCCTTGGTATGAAAATTGACAGTGAATGTCCAGTTGCTCAACATTCAGCCAAACGCTACATCAATCCTACATTTCATATTCCAACTAGTACAATGTTTCCATATTTATTCTCTTCAACTTAGGTAGCTACCGATTCTTCTCATATAACAGTACAACTGGTTCCAAATTAATGTTGACTGACTTGACTTTCAATGAGAGAGAAAGACTTCTGCGATTGTTCACGCAAACAGTAGTTTATGATGGAAAGAATGGCTCAGAGTCTGATAGTGAGACAATTATCAGTCAAGTAGAAGAAAGACAGACATCAATGGAAGAATTTCAGGAATTAAACATGAGTACAACGAGACGAGCGGTTTTGACTTACTCGTCCAAAAGAAAAGTGGCTAACAATGAAAATAATTCAACCGCCGAGAACCAGAGTGACGGTCTTGCGCGTGACGTCGGAAATACGCAAGGTACGTTTAGGATGATAGAAACCGAAGTACAGAGTGATATTATTGTGGAAAGAGATGATGCTGAAGCCCGTCTGGCCGATATAAATATGCCCCATCAGTGTGATAACTCAGTATTTTCGCGTATACCCGAAACATCCCCTAATTCAAAGGACAAATATGATGGTTTTCAATCAATTGTTGTAGACAAATCATTCGACAAGGGCAAGGTGAAACGTGCAACCTTATTAAAATCCACGAAGAGAAAACACGGTAACAGGGTATGTAGATGCAATCCATTGGACCAAACTAATATGTTTGAACATAGCAGTGAATCATTAAGCAAGAAAGGAAAATGCATCTCGCAAGAACTTCCACGCATAGTTGTTTCTGGTCCTGAGGCCTCCAGAGGACATCAAAAGAGTAGCGAAGTCGATGTATGTTCGAATGCATCCACAGAAACAGAGAGCCGCACTCGAAGCACAACATCACTTGGGGATCAGTTATTAGATTCGTTGGAGAGCAACTTATCCGCCACTGTGCCTCGTCGAATCACTGCAACAAATGATATACCCTGCATCGATGATACAGAGAAAGAAAAATGGCTGGTGGAAAACAGCTTACCGCCTATATTTGCCCGCGATCGTTCAACAGATACGCTACACCAAATTGACCATACACCTGTAGATAATACCTTCAAAGGCCATGAAACTCGACACATGCAATGGGAACGATCTACTCTTGTTGAGCCATTTGACACCACTTTACCACCTGTGAAAAACGCTTGTAACTTGGATGGCGTACAAATGAGACCGGCTAACATCCCACCTAGTGGGTCAGTCTATTGGGCGATGCCAAGGTAATAGCCGGTACTGCCAAAGAGGTAGATTCAGCGCTTGGCGATGTTACTGATCACGACGTGTCAAACCCGCGGCCTGTGTTACCCTTTGTGTCACAGGGGGCCAAAGTAGTTTGTAAAAAAGAAACAGCGCTAAGTCCGCCCTCAAAATGGCATTACCCAATCTCAAACCAGGCATCGCTAGTAAGCTCAACAAAGAGAAAATGTTGTATAGGCAAGGATGTTTTGAAAGATGAAACCAAAAGTGGATTATATTCAGGCTCATTGCCTTCTCTCACGTATTCTCAACGGCTAGTTGTATACAATGGTTCGGGGAGTGTAACAGAGAGATCCATGATGTATTCAACGGCGCTGGGAGATATCAAGCCACGCAGGAATCTTGATGACGTGGACTGGAAAAACCTTTCCGATAAAGGGAAGCAAATGGCGGCTGTTTATACATCGCATGTTCCTGCTACAAAACATTAAATTAGTTTTTTTTTTATTTCAAGCCAATGCATGGGAAAAGTTTGAGTTGTAATCAATTGCGTAAACGTAATTTCTCCGGACAAGCTACGCAAACCATATATGATATTGTTTCAGCTACAAACAACAGATGATGGATAGACACCGACTGTACATCTCAAAATGGCTCGTGGCAGTCTATGGCACTACATGATTTAACGATTGCACGTGGAGAGTATCCCACTCATACTGTTTTATAGACACTCAATATAATTTTGTTTAACCATGTACAATTATGACAAAACATTTATTATAGTATGTAAAAGGATTTACAGTTACTTGTACCAATCTTACACATAACAACTTATATAATGACAGAAACCCATCTTTGTATTTATTATACACGGTTTTGAATTCTTAGATGAATTAGCGCGCGAGGACAATGTCAGAGTGCATATTGCCATTGAGGGCGTCTTTCCACCTTTATATGATGCATTTGTTTATACAATAAATAACGTATTAGTCAGTATCCTGTTCAATTTGACTGATAAATACAGCTGGCACTGAGAGAGTGAATGGCCGCGTCAATATTGCAAAATACAAAACAATTGCGATGGTATCCTTGAATTATACAATACTGTTTTTTCTGTCATAGGCTGAATTATTTTCAGACTAATACTAAATGCTGAAATGACACAAAACCCTGCACAGCATTATGAGCAATATTCAATTATTGATTTAAATTATACTAGTATAACATACACAATTCTATATGAGGATTAACCTCATCAAAACAACTTGACTGTAATTATATATTTTGAACATTCGCCAATGATATAATGAAATCGCTTTACACTAATTAAGTTAATTAATCTGTTATCCAGATTGACTCAATACATAGTAGATTCAGTATACATACATCTACTCACTGACTCAGTCATTAGCCTTAAAACATTTCTTACAGTTTGAAATGACTTTCCTATATATTATAATTTTTCATAAGTGACATGTGTCTGCCATATTGGACATTCCTCAGCTTACCCATAGAACATCATTGTCACGTGACAGGGTAAGACAACGCAAAAGAAACCAGTAACCTGACCAACTCGATGTCATATTCACTTCCGATTCCATATTGAAACAAAAACGCGTCGGCATATGTGAACGCGAGAATTGGGACGCGAGTAACGCCAAATAATGACGAACAGGACGAATGAAGAATGACGAATATAACAATGAACGACGAATAAGAGCGAATCAAATTCCATCTATTGAAATACATGTCGAAAATTGTTAACACATGTACAGTAGACTCTAATTTACACATTTTTTTTTAGAAATGTACAAAGTATTATTGCTCTGATGGCAGCGATGGACAATATTTTACACAAACTATTAAATACAATAAAACATTATAATACATATAAAGTGTTTTGAAATTGTTAAATGAACTCTTGGCTGTATACAGTGTTAAACACGCACTGTCATTCGTCTCTGAAACTCAGATTTCGAGCAACCTCGAGTGTACTTCCGCTTTGCTAGCATACACTTCTACTAAAACCATGCACATTACAATGGCTGTGTAAAGAAACCCTATATCTGACGTGAGACCTACAATTACATTGCAGTTTCATAATATTGCTTGTAATACACACAGTAGAACGCAGGCGAGGAAATATATTCCGTGCCAATTTGGAGGGGGGCGTTTCAGAGAAGAAATTACCTCAGAACCTCCCCAATACATATAACATATCTGTGACCATACTAATAGTCACATTAATTGAAAAATCATAAGACATAATAATGAAAAAGGCGAGACACTTAAAACACATGCTTTGCATTAGGATTATCAAATAAGATGTGAAACACTGGTTCCTTGATAACTCGATTTATACACGGAACGAAAATCTAATCAGTATTTATACGTATATTTAGTGAGTACAGTGATATATTTACTAGATCACCGGCGTATATGATGCAATGCATAACAAATTAAATAGTTATGTCGACAAATAAATATGCTACAATTTGTGTATCAACATGTAAATCTGGTCTAAGCATTTTATGAAACTAAAGCTTGGTGGTATGCATATATGTGTACTAAGCTTTAGGATCATATTGTAACGATGACGACGACCACCACTGTGACAACAATAAAAACAAAAAAACAAATACTTTGCGTGTACTATTAATTCCAAGCACTGCTTCAGTTTGTCACGGATAAAACTCGATAATTCTCACTATCGTACCTCTGGACGTACCTCAACCAATACTAATAACATTATTTGCGACCCCTTATGTTACCTCGATTTAAGTAAACTCAGATAGTGAATGGACTACTTAGTAGCCAGAAAATTAAGGGCGGCGTGACTCATTTCGTCGGATGCGTCGACCTACTTATTTAAAGACGTGTTTTAATGGCCACACATGCTTAGGATTCTTAGGAATCGTCAATTGTATGACGTCACAACATGGACTATGTCTACATTGGAGTATTTGTTGTCCATGATGGAGCTCTCCAATGCATTCATCAATGTCACAGATGGTGTTCATTTATTGCACTAGAAAATGCAAAGACATTATTTGAGGTAATTTTGAATTTCTAAATGTAAAAGTAGGGCAACATAATGAATGAATTAATGATTAACGGCAAGGTACTAGCATTTAAAATAAACGTGTGAGCCGGTGTATCATTGTTGACGTTGAGGGCACTATACACATCTTGCTACGTGGTTACCGAGATCAATATAGCGTTGCATAATACAGCGACGTCACAAGTCCCGTACACACAGCATATCCGTGTCTCGAATGGTAGCAAAATTTCTAATATGTTTCCCAATCATCATGGAGTCCCATCTCCGATTTCACTTTCCTATACATTCACGTACAAGTCAGTCATCGAGGTATTTTTGTAAAACTACCTGAAACAAAACCCCCTGGGTTTGTCTAGAGCCTGTAAACCTCAACCCCGGGCTCTGTACACGCTGCATTGCCATTTCTTTCTGCGTATTTCTGTAAATCTTCTTCCGACCATTGCGGTTGCATGCATTTCCGTATACGCTGGAGAAAAAAGAAGAAGTAAGTAGTGTTTGTGCACAGTACTGAATTTAGGGGGTGGGGTGGGGTGGATGGGGAGCTCTCCAGATACTGGCTGGCCCGAGAACATGGCCAACATGCGTGGAGATATGTTGAACATTATTATAACATCCGTGGGATTAAACTTACTTGATCCAAGGCAAATAGATTGATTGAAGTAACTCTGTATTTGCATAACAGTTCCATAAACAATTTGTGAATGGGTAATTATGCAATACTGTGTCAATCACAATAGTCAACTCGCACAACGAGCCACACGAAGACCCTACACATCCCTGAATTGATTTATACAACACAGAATACAGTCACTTGTTCTATAAATCGCGCCCTCTAGCGGACAAGTGCATCTGTGGTATAGAAATGACGTCTGCATGTGGTTTTGCGCAGTGGCGGTGGCACCGGGGGTGGGAGTGGCAGAGGGGGCGGTCGCCCACCTGAAAAAATGAAACCCTTTGTGTCAGCAAAATTTGCCTCTCAAAATACAGGAAATAGCGATTCAGAGGGTCTAGATTTCAGATTTCGCCCCTCATGCAAAATTTCGTGTCGCCGCCTTTGGTGCGCAGTGTCGTCAACAACTTTTGATTGTTGTGTACATATAAAAACAATAGCGACGATGACAATAACAGTTATAGAAGTGCTTCGCTCACTGGACGCGTAGTTAATGGAAAGCTGTATTGATTCGTTAGTTCTTATTTTTCTCCTTTATGTGCAGGCGCCATCTTGTGGTTAAGTGCGTAATTTTCATCGTACTATATGTTCCCTTACCTCCATTAATGTTCCCTCTGTCCTTATTAGTATGTACACCATATATCCGGGCACAAAAAGCATTGAACTTAATGCCATCATCCAGCCAATACCCTCTCCCCATGATGGGTATGTGTAGTCTAGGTAACTCAACCTGCGATATTGAATTAGCGCATAGAGAAACACACCCTACAAGACAGAACAGTTTAAAATGTAATCATGTTTTAATTACATGAACCCCAAATCACATAGACATGGTTGTTCGTTGTCACCATAACAATGTAATATACATGTTTTAAAAACAATGTTTTAATATATAATGACGTCATTGGTAAAAAGTATGTATCGTATCGCGTGAGTTGAATAGCGGTCATCTTTTCCCTGGCGGCCATGTGCAAACTTGGCCGTAATTCAGTCAGATTACTGTGGATAATTCATGCCATTGGCAAATATTCTTATCTTTCATACGGCATCCTTGAATATACTGACACTCAGGGTGGTCTATTTGAAATTGGGGAAGGGCTGCTAAACTGACTTACGTGAAACATAAAGTCTAGCCATCTTAGGCTTGCATATGTACCAGCAAAGTATTAAGCATATTTCACCCACAATTCATCTTCCATGCAACGGACACAGTATCTCACGCATTCCCGGCAATGTATCATACAACACACACGCCCCATGTGGGAATTTCACTCCGCACATTGTACATACTCCGCTAGACTAAATGACATAACACAAACACTGGCACTTACAGCGCTGATTGCGGGTGCAAAGAACTTCCAACAAAGTTTCCACCATATAAAAGGTCGGAATCCTATCATGTCCTTGATATTGTCATAGAAGCGATCGGCACCTGTGATAAACGCGATTTGTACATTATTATCAATAGTGAAGGCAGATTATCAACGCAATAGTCACATGGTTCGTCGAATACATATCATTCCACATGAAGCGAAGGAATCGTGAGTAATTAGACGTAAAAAGTGAAAAGTACTGATCACAGACTCACCGTATCCCCATCCCACCGCTACACATTCCCAGAAGGCCAACCAGAGGAGACACATACCACTGGCGGAATACGTATCGAATAGTTGAAACACGTACATTCCACCCTAGAATAGGGGTAAATTAAAAAATAATTAGTATAACAGATACAGATATTTAATTTTGGACATGTTGCCACACATGTTGATATCGACATCGACTAGTTACACGTTACACTAGCACGTTGAGCTAATTAAGGATTTGACACGCAAAACATGGCATGGTTTTATGTCATTGGTGTTTATAGTCGCCTACTGCTACGTGTTTACGGTATGTTATGATTATTACGAGTCATGTTTTCTCAGTAGGACCAATTGTTGACCACTGTCCTCATGAGACACAAGGTCACAGTCAATTGACATTTATGCACGAAACTCAATATTTAAAGATTTGAGTTGCACAAGGTATTACTATTTGTTAGCTGAAGAAACGTTTACAGATTAAGGAAGCTGTATATATCTAGAGATATGTTGTATGATTTCACGTAACATCGCCCATGCATAGAAAGGAGTAGATATGTCTGCTCTCAAGGGCCCAATACAAAACATACAGAACATTAACCTCACATTTTGTTACAAAACTGGCGGTTGTAAATTGCCCGAGTAACACAGTAGGTCATTTGGTGAGAAGATGACATATGCCAAATTATAGACTTTGTGTATGTCTCTCACTGGATTCACCCGTGTAGTATAGATTAGTATCTATAATTGTTGGTCCCATTCCTTTCTATTATCCTGCTCAATTATATACAGAATGAGAACGGGGCAGAGGTTAATGCACGTATCTATTACGCCAATACCCAGTTCTCACGCTCACCGTACGGGGAATGTACTACCCTTGCCTTGCAGGGTTTATTGATGGCCACATATGCTCAGCATTTGTTTTGCTCATTGTTTTTTTCCCGCAGTGAATGACAATTGCGTAACCTTAGTAGGTCAAGTTGTGGACTCGCCGTTTTAGGTTACACTGCGTAGAATTAAAACATTCCTTCAGACAATACTCCGCGGGGACCCTTGGCAGGGGTAAACTAGAACAGATGCGTACACGATCAGGATTAGTTAACTGTGAGATGATTGAAGTAACCGGTGGTGAATGATGCAAGTGTAGCTCGATTTAAGGGCTGAGTATGCATGGTAATACGCAGCAACTAATTTACTAGTAGTGTGATTGTCGCTATAGGAATTCTTATTTGTGGCGGTGTTTGTCGCATAAAAACTTGGGGTATCCAATAATAATTTTATCTCATTGACTGTAATAGAAACCTAATATTATCTTTGTAAGCAACTAGATGCTGTATTATAAACAACTTTCACATAGGACCTTGTGTTTCCTATTTCCTTGTACATGTTCAGGCATGATTTAGTCATTTACCGACCTTCCATTTTACTCCTAAACGTGCAAATCATGAAACGTCCATTGAAAAATAACATTTACCCCTATTTTGTTTTCGGTTTTATGATAAGGCAGCGTTCTTACATCCTGCGCTATTTAATAAGAAACGTTGAAACCAACTTATGCTAAAGTACTTTGTAATGCTGATATATCTTAGCCCTTCACCCCGAGAACTATGATTGTTTGTTCCGCGTATTCAGAAATCAACTTGTAGTACCATTCACAGGATTATTGTCTGTAGCACTGTAGAATAATACCTGATATTTATATACACTGGTTTCAGGTTATGTATTTTATTGAACAGGCGCCAACACGGTGGCCATGACATTTAAGCAGCTCAGTGTAAAATGGCGGATATTTCGAAAAAAAAGAACAAGACTAAAAATAATTGTCTCATTCGATTGGTCAAAACAGTAGAATACGTATAAGATATACATTGAGAGAAACCGAGTCAGCAACAACGGATCGAAGAGACAGGGTTACACAGTGTACCACACAACTTACAATAGTCTACAGAAACAATATGCACAAAGAACAATAGTCACAAACAATAGTTAGGGGGTACACAGAACGTGGGAGGAATACTTAAGAGAAACACTTTGTAAACAGCGTTTAATGTAACGTGTGCGCGCCCTTCATACATACGGTCACATTTACTTCTAACGGAAGTCGAATGCTACTTCATTCATGTTTGAACTAATCTATAATCCCGCGAGACGAGCGTTACATAATTGCAATGTACTTTTGTCCAATTTGTGTTGTACTTATAGGAATTGTGAGACCAGTGTAACTGTACTAGTATAACGTGCAGTGACAAGTGTGACAGAGCGAACTTACAATGCATACGATAGCCTGGGGTAGTACAGTTTATCTCAGTCTAAGTATTTGGTGCTTACTAAATGAATTCATATTCAGATTAGCCCGTAATTAGATATGTGCATAACTAATGAGTTGACTTTATTTCATAAGTTAGGTATACAAGAAAGTAACGTCGAATCAGTGAAATAATCAGCAACAAGTTTATAATTGACTTCCTTCAAATTGCCACAAATCTGCTTTGATTATTATAAGTATGTCAAACTCGAGTGATTTGATTTTGTATTCGCATGCCTATTAGAGACGCGCGCGGCCGTCATAGCGCCTGACGTACAATTTGGAAGGATTCTCAGCAATCATTCAGAACAGTTAAGGTAGAGTCAATTAAGTGGCCTTGGTAGCAACATTTTATTTAATGCTTCTTGTATACTATTATCTTATCTCAGACAAAAAGTATAGCTGCACACCCCACTGTCTCACCTGTGTAATGGTTGAAAGTCCAATTAAATAGGAAACGGCACATACAACGGCTATAAAGAGTTCTTTATTTTTGCGTAGATATCTGGGCCATTCATCGACACAGGCTGTAATGAAGCCTTCTAAAGTGCAGAACTGTATTGAAACAAAAAAATACATTTAGCAAAACTACGATAAAATAGCCAGTATCGATAGACAGGGATTAGTAAATACAATGAACGAGAATGTTAAAGTTGTGGGATGTTCACCCTCAGTTTGCAGACTCACCCCCGTAAATTCTATTACGTGCAATACAAGAAGCCGATCCCATTTACATATACTGCTTGCACCATTGTGTACGTGTATTGATATGCATTTTACTATTTTTTTGATATTGTCACGTCATCACTGAGATCACGCATTGTATGAAGTATAATACACTAATATGATCAATACGACTAAATGCGTCTATCCGTGATTATCAACAAAATGCATAATAACATCAATGGTTTTGGAACTGAATAATGCAGTCTCTTGCGAGTGATACATATTCTGTCCGTACCTGGCTATCCAGTCCCAACATAAACAACATAGAGAAGAACAGAAACGACCATAGAGGAGATATAGGTAACTGTGCGATGGCAGACGGATACGCTAGAAAGGCTAGTCCGGGACCTGGAATATATGAACAAAATATAGAAATAAATAAATTAAAGCTTATCGTAATATAGTTTATTTGGATGTTTACAAGCAAACATCAACATTGGCAACTCATTTCTTGTGAGTGATTTACATCACAGAGTTTCAGTTGTTTCTTTGATAAAGGAAGGTGTCGGCCAGGTAAGGCGTAGAAAAGTTCATAGTGTACTGTACATCTAGTGTACCCCGAATAATTTGCATACTGAGTATATATGTACCATGGCAACGTAGCAAATATTAATCACACTCTTCCAACCACTGCAGAAATTCCACATGAACATTTGAATCAATAGATATAAGCTCCACGACGCATGACTAATTAGTGCAATCAGCATCTTGTTGCCATGGTAGTATAATTCGATATCAACGACAAAAAATAACATAATTGCAAGAAAGCTGTATCGCGTATCAATTAAACCTCAAAGTTATATTGGAATAAAGTCAGAATGCATTCAAGTGACAGTGATAATTAAATATTCTGTTGGTGTCTGCCGAACCCTGTCAAACATCATGCTGTGGCGTCACGACGGATTTCAATGCCCAGTAACCGTAATATGTATATCCGGTAGATAGTCTGGTTTTGCTTAATGAAAATATGCTAAGCCTTGTTTGTCTACAACCCTGTGTACGTGATTATCTTTCCGATGGAGTATGCGCCTCAGCAGATAAATGTTTTCAGAACCGGTCTTAAACTTGATAACCAGAATCGTTACGTGTTGAAATGATGTGTCGAACGCAGATGACCTGTGACCCGTTACGATACAAGATTTTATGCTATAGCGATTTGCGTACAAACATAAATACAGCAGTTTGGGATTAATATTTAGAGAGTATGTTTATTGAGGTCAATAAATGTATACGCATAACAAAACCACGTGTTTCTCATTTAGAGGCGAGGAAATGCGGTGCCCTGGCACGCATAAAATTACGTCTCTGTATGCTTATCTAGGATACAGGTCACTGGTTCGGAATGCGCTCCAAGTTACGATATAGTTAAACCCAAAGAATGGGAAACTGCTAACGATATCCCTCGAAGCTCAGCACATAGTTCAAACAATACACGGATCGTAAAGATTAGTATGTCATCTATGTGATCTGTTCAAACAACATGTTGTTCAGTGCGAAGCTAGTGTTAATATGAGACACGGGAAACTAACGTTAAGGACGGTTGAAGTAGTGAGTGTTTTCAAGAACATATCTTACCAGATACGGCTACTTCACTGACCGGCTCACCCTGTACATGTGCCATAAAACCAATCGTCGAAAACACAACAAATCCAGCAAAGAAACTTGTTCCACTATTAACGCATGAAACAATGATGGCATCTCTGAAATGCGAGTTACAGAAAACGCACCATTAGAAGAATATAAAAAAACGCACATTTAAAATAAAAAAGGAGCTATATCTGTTCATATGCTCCCGAGACTGGGTGGCAAAGGGTTAATTGGCGTATGTTTATCAAATTCACAAACCGCAAAAACATGATAAACATCAGACGGCGTAACAGACGTTTTAGCGAGAAAAGCTCCAGGAAGTCTGATGTTCATGGTTCATGTACAAATTCGAAATCAATATTCGTAGCAGATAAGCGATACGATAAGAGCTGTGAGCGTGCCTGAGATCAAGAAGGTCAGGCTGTGTAGGAATTGAGCGAGCTATTCATGGAGCTACCACAACCAACGCTTATACATATCGTATATCAATAAGTATACTAAGAGTTCTTTCTCCCCGTTCCAATCACATTCAGTTTTCAGTAATCTTTACCCACGGTTACTTTAACGCAGTCCGAGATTGTTTGTGTTCTCAAATGACTATAGTTGAACCCTTAGGTGGATGGACTATGTTCGCGAGTTCGTAAACATATGTTGTATATGCATGGATGGGTACTTCTCCGACCGCCGTGTACTTATATAAATAAATACCGCCAAGAACCCAACACATGTAGGATATACAATCTTTTAAGTGAGTTGAACTAAACCACTCATACGTTTGCCGTATCCATCAATTTGATAATATCATCTGACCACTTTCATATACACATATATTCAGTTGAAAACAAACAATTAATCTATGCACGTGTATTGCGCTGTTGAGTACATTGCAGGTCGATGAGGAATATATTAAACTTACTTATATACGTTGTTATGGTAGTCATTGTAACTACCGAGGGCTACCAATGAACCGAGTGTTATTCCATAGGAAAAAAAGATCTGCGTTGCAGCGTCAATCCATACCTACAAGGTAGAATACGTAACACGTATAGTCAGACCTTCACGTTAGTTCCAGTCAAATGTCTACTGTCGTATACTGCGTTAATGTTGTACGTACACTTAATTTTCTGAGGTAGGGGGATAATACAATATGTACATACAAATGCGCGTACAGTCGGCGTTACAAGGAAGCAAAACGTATAGCATTTTTGATTAAATTAGTCCGTAGTGTCCACGTAATCATTGGCGACTGATAACATTGCTCGTTAGACTATCCGTGTGATTATACCAATCGCTCAATTTAATTGTGATCACACCCTAGAGTGCTACAGTGGGTATTGACCATCTTGTCATTGTGAATAGAGCATACCAAATGGCAATGTAGAGACTTTATCGGTAGATACCAAACTTCGTAGTCAAAGGCCGTGGAAATTTCATTCAACAAGAACACAATACTAGCCAATACTTATAAACTAACAGTAAGATTTATATGTGCAAAACGATTATGTATTTAAATCACGCACTAAATGTAATTCCACACGAAAAAAACCCACATATTATAATGGTACAAAATAGAAATAGACTGTTACCTCAGAATCTGCAAGCCTGCTAAAGTCGGGATTCAGATAAAAGATGATGCCGTTCCGCGCCCCAGGCAGTGTGACCCCTCTTATTAGTAGAATAATCATCATTACATAGGGATATAGGGCGGTAAAGTAAACGACCTGTATTACAAAATAAACAACAAGTGTACAGTTACAGATGATTGGTCTGGGATATATGCTTTCGTGAAAAACATTCTCGCTTAGTTAAGCCTGGCCCACGGGGGTTTTACACTGCGCTGAGTGTTGAGTGACGACAGTGCGCTGTTTACAAACCACAGCTGTAAGGATTGGGGAGGGATTGTGTGCTGTCAAACTAATCACTGATACTTGGCATTTGTTTCCCCCATCGGTTAGAATAATTTCCTGACACTGAGGTTAGTCGAGATTCATTTATATTACCCTGGGTTACAACTGAGTTCCCTTCTTCTTTAATTCTGCAGTTACAGTTTCTGTGCATCGTATCGCGCCATGCGCTATACATCAAATGTCGAGAATACCAGTGGGAAATCAAGTTATTATCAAAGACTAATGCTTGGATTTAAATTTAATTCACATGAAATACACCGCAAGTTTCCGTCATCGTATGCGTAATATTATAATAATGTTAGTGAACACATCTGAATATATATTTATTTTAGGTAATTTTTATTCTATGACTAAATTGACCATTCTTATTACACGAGGTGGTACCTCTTATGCACCTACTATAACATGTCTTATTATTTATTAAAGCAGTTGTGGTTTAGAAGAATTGTGTTATGTATGCGCAACTTCACTGATTTACGTTACCGCGCATGCTCGGCAAACCGAAATTCCTTAGCATTCATCTCGTTCAATGCAATAATCGAATGGCTGAAACGTCGAGGTAAATTCTTATCGCTGCTCGTTCAGACATAGCCATTAAAGTATGTTCGATCGTAAACTGAATCCCTTGTTAGTGAAACTTTCCCTCTGTGAGGTATTGGAGTATAAAGATGATACGAAGAGACAAGACTACCAGATAATCTTTATAAATAAATCCTTACTGAAACCCCGCCCAATTATTGGTTCTTACCTTGCCAGTCCACTTGACGCCTTTCCAAATGCAGAAATAAACAACAATCCATACTAATAGGAGCGTCAGTGCCAATTGCCAGCGTATAGTCCCAGGCTGGTGTAAGCCATCCGTTATTTCCAACACATATTTCCTATTGTATGCATAACGCTAATAGTTATTGAAAAATGTTGAGCGGATGTCACGCCAGAATTATCATTTTCAGTATCCTTTAGTTAAGAAGTTAAGGGGAGGTTTCCAGACCTGTTCTACCAAACTAACGAACATTTTTACAAACTAATCAACTTGTGCCCAATTTTGGAAAATTCGGCTCATAAATCTTTTTTTTCGTAGAAGTGTGTTGCATTCGTGTTAATTTTCACACAAAAAAACGATGTGTAGTTTTGGCTGGTTTAAAAATCTATTTAACACTTTCATAACAGTCTCAAATATAAAAATGATTCAACCAGCTGATTAAAAAAAATCTAGGACGCGGTTATTGTGGTATCACATTCAATAAAACAAACCATCCCAAGGTTGTTTTCAGAATATGGGGGGGGGGATTATATTTATGGGTCTTTATGTAAACCTGTGTTTTGAATATAATTGTAGTGAGAATATTATATTGTTTACTGGAATGTGAATTAAGATGTTTAGTTACTCATTACAAGTTTGGGTAATTGTCACATTATGTGTCACGCATGCGTTATGTCTTCATCATTTCTAGGTCGTTTTCTTATGCAGTGGATTGTGTAACACACCACAAGCAGACAGCTATAAACGCATATTTATACTTGGCATTTGAGATTTTGTGGGTGGCCTCAATCGTTATGATTCACAGTCGTGTGCAGCTGGTATTTCTAATGAGTTGCTCATTCACACGTTTCATCTAATCTGTATTGTACTGTGCCGTTCCAGATAATAGGATAATTCAATATTTTGAACGCAGTAGAGAGGCAATATTCTTATCCCAACAAAATGTGGCTTGAATTTATTATTTTATTTTATTTCCCTTCTCAGTGGATACGTTGTATTTGTACTGTATTTATTTTATGCATTCAACGTTTTGTAGTTATATATTTATTTTTACTCAGTCAAGCAAGGCTGTTAAAAACTTCAGATAAATATACAATGTACGTACACACATAATGTCTGTTTAGTTTAGTTTACTGCGTTCATAAAATTAATCGATGTAAAGCATTCTGGTACCTAAACGAGCCAATTTTTTTGCCCTCTCCGTCTCTCGTAAAAGAGAGAAATTTAAGTCATTTTACAGATTTTTGAACAGGATAACAAGCCAATTGAAAACCATTAGCCCATAATGTCGTCATAGGGTAAACTGCAGGTAAAAGGAACGAACCGAACACAAAGAAACATCAACGCTCATGAAATTGGGTAAGTGCTTGGATATTTCGCAAGCATAAATAAATAAAAGAAGTGTCTACAATAAATAGACATGGTGTTGTGTTCAAATTCTCTCATTTATGCGGCCCGATTGGTGTTCGGCCCATTACGAAAACCAATTTATTTGCATTAACTCTTACCAGCCTTTGTATATACCTATCGCATAAATAAGACGGACATGACAGTTTCACTGGGACTTTTAAAATATTGAAGACGAAACACATATGTGACGCGTATACTTACTCCCAGAATTCCTTAGTCGGGTAGGTCATAACGGAGAAGTTTGCCGACGTGTTTGTAGAGCACAATTCCGTGTTCCAATCATGGTTACATAGTTCCCATGGTAATACTTGTGTGAAAGAACTGAATAGATACAGTAACGCCCAGGCAATAATCACTATATAATATATATTAAGCCAGAAAGAAACCATGGCAGCTGCATAACCGATACCTGGGAAGGAAAGTAAATTGCAACACTGTCAGTATAGTGATAATTAGCTGGGCTATGTTCATGCAGTGTTTTCTGCAATGTGTAATGCCACTATTTTCAGTGGTGTTCCACAGTCTTAGCAAAACACTGTCTGTTCAGCACATAACACACCATTTGTGTGCGCAGATGACGCTAACGAATATAATATGAATGTACGACGAGGTGATAGACATTTATTTATCAAGTTGCATTAGTTACATTAAAAAGTGTTCTCAATGGATATGTGCGCATATGTGGACGATGTACTGGAGATGCCTTCTACAAATGATATGCTATTATGAGCTGTCACAATAGAAAGCGTGCTTAGTTGAAAGTATCCACCGTCGAAACGACGGTGCGGTGCATTCAAAACATACACAAGTCAATCCCCTTTGTTAACTGTGCATTCATGCGCGGTTATTTTATTTGGCGATTGCATTGCTCAATCTAAATCCCAACTCCAATGGAAAGTTAATAATGATATTTGTATTCTGTTATAAATCTTACGAGTTAATATAATCCAGTACTGTCAGCTAAGAAACTGTAACGATTAACGTGAAGTCACGTCGAAGGTCAGTGTGAAACCCCGCCCGGGTGTCATTATTATCTATTAATTGAATCGTGTTTGTGTGATAATTAGCGCTTTGGGTTTTGTGGTATCATCACATTATAAATACCATATAATGGACGCACCAGGCCGTCAGACTGCAAATGTGTATCACAGTGATAGTGAACTTTATTCCATAGTTATCTTCCCTGGGTATATTGACGTTGCGCAGGCATTGATGTTTATTTTTAGAAGGTGCACTCTGCGAACGCGGACATTTTCTTCAAATCAATGTTCACGCTTCATTGGGCTAATGGCAGGAAATGTGCGTTTAATGTGTCATTTGTTCCAGGGGTTAGGCTGCAATATTTAGGGGGTGTCCATAATACTTCATTTTGGGTGTGTGAATCTGCACGATACTCAGCTTAGTATTTAAGCATCATATGCACAAGAGCTGCTGCTACAGAATTAATGTAACAGCGATGGAGACGGTATGACCAACCACACATAGCAACTCACACTGAAAATAGCATATAAAACATAAAACTACACAATTTTCGCATAATAGTATTTCGTGGTTATTCTGTATCTGTCACGCAATTTATGTATATATATGCATACCAGGTTATCCGGGAAATTTCAAATATATCAAACGTTTTGTTCATGATGTGATTTGCAGTTGCAGTACCTCGGTATAGAAAAAGGATATTAAATTTTTATGTTAAACTAAGTTTTGTTTACCGTCGCATCAAATGATGATTTTCTACATTGGCAGTATATCGGACCAGCATCGAGATGGAATCAACGAGGATAAAACACATTTGCATTACTACTAAAGGGCGTCAAAGGGATAGTTCAGCTCCTTCTACACACTTGAAACCAATATTTTTCTCTTCTGTCTTGGTTTAGGTTACTCGGAACGCTGCAGGATACTCTGTGTGTTGCAGGTTTAACGCAAGTATAATTAAACGCGGAGTTCCAGGGCATACAAATGCACGACACAGTATGGAAAACCGGGCAGAGGTTAATATTGTGTTTTTCTTTGCGAGCAGCTTCCTGAGTATGCGCTTCGCAACTCTTTCAAGGACAATCCAGCCAGCGGCCATTTTATCTATCTAGTGCCTACATAAAGTGGACCCAGCCAATTTATCTCGCAAAGAAATGTTTTCGTTCTAATAGATTTAACGTAAATTTATACAACAAAAGTGCAAGGTTGCGCAAAAAAAAACAACAAAAAAAAAACGACAAACTCTCAGCTAACGATTTTTGTTTACAATAAAATAAATTGAATATAAAGCGTCGGCCTCTCAATAGAAATATGGAGCCTTAGCTTTACATCAATATTTCCGCAAAGCATTTTATAAACATACCCGGATGCATTGAAGTTGGATCGAATTGCTGTCCTTGAGGGATTTGATCAGTGTTGGAATTCGACTGAATGCAGTACGTAGTATGTAATTCTAGGTCACTATGGCAACTAGTCGCTGCATTACATCACATGCTTAACCCATGCGTTATTAAATTAGTAGTGGGATTATTTGTGTATCATTATTGCTGTAAGGTATGCCTGATTTATGTAAGGCTTTCATTAGAAATGTAGTGTAGGACAGCCGCTTGCTGGCGCCCACGACACACAATTTAACCGCATTTAACCTTTAAATTACGTAATAATTCCTACTGATGACGTAAAATACAACTTACCCTTGAAAAGTGGACAGACCTTCCATACACCAAGACCGCCTACGCTGAGATATTGTCCAAGTGCTGTTTCCAAGAAGAATATCGGAATACCGGCGAATATCAGCGTCAACAAGTATGGAATTAGGAAGGCACCTGAAAAGATTAAGGGTGAAGATTAAAGATCAAATTTGGATGGTTATAAAAGCAAAGGTTTAAATTGAGTACATGTTATTTGTATTTTGTGGCCAGTAAAGTTGTCACCAATTATGTCTTCATTGCTTATCTTCTAAACTAATGCTACATATACTAGTAAACTACACGTGATCAGTGTACATTACAAAAAGTAATTACACACAAACAAACAAACAAACAAACAAAAACAAACTAACCAACAAACAAACAAACAAACAAAGAAACAGAACTTGATTGCATCACCCGTTCTCTGTCGTGCTCTATATACCACTATATAGCAACAATAACAATAAAGTCTGTGATATCTTTATACCCTATTTTTTTATTTATGAAATCTATTAATCATTTATACTTATTGTCTCGACTCAACCTTGCAGCGTGTTCAAATTTGTGTAAAGAAACAAATAATGTATTTTATACGCGTTGTATACGTAGCATGGGACCCATATTGACTATGGCGCATTATTTAAAGTTTGTTTGGTGACGCATTGAAATCTTGTAATGGGAAGGGATACAATTGTTGTCGTCAAACTGCAATGTACCAGTATGTTGGTTTGATGTATAGTATTCTGGTCTTATAAAATCATCGAATGTCGGTGGCCCGCGTCAGCTGTACAGTATGGAATATAATACACGCATTATAATAATTCTGAAATCTCGTTCTTAACTTTGATAACATGAAACACATATGCACCCAATTGATTTAGACTTTCCTTTATCACGTGTTGTTGCCAAATAAATAAACCTGTTAAAGGTGTGGGTTTGGAATACATGTGGAAGGCAGAAGTCTCGAAATTGACAGACATGTGAAAGGAAAGTGATACACGTCTTTGGTTTGAGTCACACAATTGGCAGATTTATTGATTTGTCTCTGCCGTACCTCTGTACAAATAAATATGGTGTGACATCATAAATGTCGTTTATATGATCTGATTTTAACATCAGTGATATGTGTTTTCTAATTCAAGTGTAATTTTAATTAAGATAATGTGTAAAACATAGTTATACACATATTCCACTAACAAGACGAATTCAGACCAATATGATTAGTTCTGATCTTCGAATTATATTGCTATTATCTTTACTAATCTAAAGCAGGTTTCTCGACATTGCAGCCGAACAGACTTGATTTGAAACAAGGATAATGCGATGGAGATTTTTCCATGATGGATCACGTGACACCGAAAGATGATATCTCAAACCCGCGGGAGAAATTACCTCCTTTATGAATTCGACATGACGTGCAATATAAATAGCGACCCCAGGGATATCGATGAGTAACCTGGGAGCAGTTTACAGCCTTTATCAATACAACCATCGTACTGTGTGATTTAGACGAAATAGAAAATATAACCGATACATTATTCGACATGAAGTGATGCATTATTGAATTCACGCAGATTGAAATGAACATATACAGACAACCCTGGATGAGAGAGGGAATACATTTCATATCACTACTTATACCATTATTAGATTCCGTCGTGGTTAGGACACGTTGTCTCGATATTGCTTACACCACTATAATATCACTTGCATATACAGGGAGTTGGAGCTGTGAATAGTCGTACTGCGTAAACTTGAATCACGATCACGGTATTGATTTCTCGACACTATAATATAATTAGAAGCAAGGATTTCGAAATTCCATTTTGTCAAAGATTGAGAAGATATATCTAATTTTCAAAACAACACAGTCTATAGTATTACTGCAATCCAGAAAAGCCTTATAATGGACGCCGAACCAATTTTAGTTGTAACCCTAGTTTTGAACAACATGACCCCCGCTGATTAATACTCACAGTTGGTGTGTTAGTTAATCATTAAAACCGGTCGGTATGTAGAAATACTTTGACGTATTATACTTGCATCACGTTTAATACAATTTTGAAATATTAAAAATGCGCTTACATGGTAATGTTTACAAATAAATGAAATCACATTCGTTGGAGTCACTGTGACCTTGCGTCATGATATGTTTTGCGTTAAAACTTAACGCGCATTGTTTGACGCCAAGAGGGATAGCATACGCTATCCAGGGAATCCACTCTGCCATCCCGGCTTGATAACTACGATAGTACCAATATAATTGTGTCGAGTGGAATGCGTGAAACAACAATAACTTAAGTAGTTGGATCCACGAAGCAACGCCGTGTCCATTTGAAGACATGTTCCTTTGCCTACAGCGTCTTTCTTTCCTCCACCAAAACAGAATGAATTGAAAATAATTTAAGTATTGTATTGTGAGATTTACACACTGAGTGTGGCAATTATTAATCTGAAAATATGCAGGGCGTGGGAAATTTAAACCAGGTAGTCATATGATAAGTCTATCCCCGTTATTACAGTCAGCGTCTTCTTTTGCTGTGTGGTATGATATGTTTGTTACCAGGTAGGACAGAGCATGACATTGCGACTATTGGAATGTCTTACCCAGACATATTGAAACAAGTCCTAAAGCTCTTTATCTGATTGAAATTATCGTTATCGACTCGTGCATTCACAGCGGCAACCCGCAACATTATCCGTAGATCCAGTGGGTCGACGGAGAATGCGTGAATCGGTTTAACACATATTTAAATAGCACACTGTGGGTACCCATTTACGTGTCTGTGCTGTTATTCTCAAACAGACTTATATTCTTAATAAGCGCATATAATATATCATTGTGCAGAATTATTATCACGTAGTAAGCTTTGTCGAGGTTATTTGCTTCAACTCAGGGGCGTGCATTTGTTTTGCTTTCTTAAACCCTTTGAACCCTCTCCGCACCACGGTTTTAAAATCAATGTGCATCGTTCTAGTTATATCGCAATATATGGCTAATGTTAAAATGATCGTATGTATGAGGATATTTATTCTTCATTTCGTTTCGTTCAAAAGCGCATTCATCTACTTTAAAGACAAATATTTCATTAAAATGCTTCTCGATCTCAATTATATTGTAAATGTTATTCATAAACTCAATATAAATGAAAAAAAGTTGAATCAATACAATATTGGATTGAGAAAATCATTTTTTTTTTATTTCAGCTTTCCATTGATACACTCGGATTTTATTTTAGTTGACGTCTGGTATGTTACGATGTAATATAATTTACGAGCGGGTTCAGATTCTCATAACAAGGGTAAAAATGATCCGACGATAATGAGCATAGTTGAAAAAACCTTCCAGGGATTCACTATGCGGGCCTCGTTAATAAGGCAGTTGAGTAGCAAAGCATTCGAACTGAAAATGACAGAGCTGAGCACTGTCTTTCTGTGAATACACGAATTCCTATAGTGAAAGAAAAGAACGTTTGGCCGTTCCCTGTAATGGTCTCGTTATCTCAGTCTGGCTGGCTAGTATAAAGAAGATGCACTTAGAACGTGGCTGCAACAAAGCATTTTTAGCCATACATTCTTAATAAATCTAACTTATTGTGGTTACAACTGTCACACGCGATCCGAGTAAATCATCGAGGACGCTTGGAACAGAGTCAACACGAAGGACAGCTGATTCAGCAGCAACGCGCTCTACCAATTAAAAATCCTATTTAAAATGTTTCGAATTTCGCGTGGAACAAACACAGTTCTGTCATTTTAACGGAATCCCGGGAAGTTTTCAGTGGCGTCCAAACACTAGAGAAGAGCGATTTGCATGATTTCAGACTCGATTAGTAGCATTATTGTATTTGCTTAATTATGATGACTAAACATTCAGCTCCCATGCGTTGATGTAGATTTATCTAAGAGAGGTCTGACTGGTCACTTAATGCGCTTATTAGAGTAAGTATATCAAAGATGCTAGCATGCATAATATATTCCAATGGCGCCATGCAGTCAATTCAACGCCAAAAAGTATAGCTTACTTTTCAATGTTATAGGCCATGATTGAAAAAGAGGTGAATGCATCTCAATAATGAACTTTGTCGTGGATAGAATCACTCACACTTGATCAATAAGAAAGCAAATTGTGTTTCTTTGCATGCACTTCATAGTCCTTGACCCTTTGTCTTCGTAACTTTGTCAGCATAGCAGTAAAAATTCCGCGATGACCAACAAACTACAGTTTTTATTTTGTACTGTCTGATTTCTGGTAACAGCCGTATAAACATCCGACCGGGGCCCTTGATAAGTTCTTCACCAAACGTCTTCATCAGAAGTTAAAGTGTGAAAGGGGTTTGGCAGGCAAAAGATTACAGAAAGAGTCGTGCTCAATTGCTTCTTTTTCGAAAAAGCAACTCAGTTTGATTGCTATTCAAAGCGGATTAGGAGATCAAACGGACCGTTTAAATGCAACCTGGGAGGAAGGATATAAAAAACTAGCAGCGAAGCCAATTAAAATGCAGTTCAGTAGAAACCAGCGTTCATCATTATGTGAATTTTAGAGCAACTACTTCGGCGTGTTCACGTTGCTAACAATGAGCCCCACATTTCACTTATTCGACGTATTCAAAAAGTTCGATCGCCTACTATATATTGACATAGATACCACAAGCATTAAGTGAAGGAAGCTAGTTACACTAGCAACGTTTGATGAATAATAAAACGTTGATGAAAACGAGCAAATATTGGTAGTCCATGCACCTAAAATCATTATATTTGAGCGACCCAAATCCATTAGAAACAGCATCAAGGTGTTTACTTCCATACTATTTGTCCTTAGGCCATATCAAGCGGTCATGAACGTATGCCATTGATTGCTCTATTTACACGGCTACTGGTCTACAGAATCCAGGGTTGTCACTCTGTGATACTGTCACCCATGCAAGCACTGAGAAACACATACACCCAACGCAATAACACTAAGGGTTCTCCTTGTCAAGTCCCAACTCAAACTTATATGATTGATTTCTGGTTGAATGCCCTTCACAATATAATATACACGAACTACGGAACACGATTTAAAGGAAATGCTCTACATGTGCTAAGTGATTTAAAATTGCCACGAAAGTAATTTCCAACGCAACTATCTAATGCTGCCGGGATTGTTTGTGAAGTGTCGTGATATGATTGTGACAGGAAGCAATCAATAAATTCAATCACCCATCGACAACGTGTCATTTATGTTGTGCAGTACAATTTAATGGCCGCCGATATTACTCTGAAATGCACATCACATTGTGTTCATTCATATGTTTAAGCAATCACGGTTCTGCTTTACTAAGTTGGTATTTTTTTTAAGTTTTCAAATAAAATATATGGGTATGGCGTGATGTAATAGTTATCACGTGATTTGGGAAGCTGCAGTCGCATTTATCCAATCATCGTGGGAAGTGTGCCCATTCCACGCAATTTAGACAAAGGTGGAAAACAAACACTAGTGATTGACATTGACATATTGTTGAATGTCAGGCGTACTGTAGAGATAGGATGGAAGATATATATAAAGAGTAGTAAGAAATACGGAGAAAAGTGAGCGGATAAAACTTTCTCATTTTAACAGTCCTAGGTTCCGAGTATAGTGATTCGTATCGCACAAGACGTTGGTCATTCTAGACAAACATTAACGCACATTTGAGCGTTATATCCATGGAATATGTGAACGTTACGACCAACGTGTGGCGGCAAATGCCAGCAACAAGCTTGATTACACATCATTACAAGTGACGAGTATGTAAGCTTTTCGGGCAAACCTCTAACATCTCAATTCGAACTCAAAGCCTGGCCATCATCACTCCTTTCTCAAGTTCTTTTCCACATGCTGGCGATGAAAACAGATACCGCAATGAACGGAATGCAAACAGATTCTTAATCAGTGGTGCCGACTCTGGTGCTGATTCGCAACCAATTCTGTAGATTGGATTTGCAGCTATTCTGATTGGTGGCTGATGTTCAGATGTGACATATGCATTACTCAACGTCCTCTCCAATGCATACACACGTGACAAAATAGGACCAGTCCAGAGCACCCAAACAACTGTTGTCAGCAGCCGCGTGAAACTAAATACTCGAACTCCCGGATAATGCCGTTTCAACTATACTAAGACTGGTACCACAACATTAGAAGACAACTGATATATATATATATATACCTATGTCGAAATTTAAATTGTGTTTTTCGACTTATTATTTCCCCTTATTTAGAACACTCTCTGATCGTCCTCGCATATACTGAGTACTCCGCCTCCAGAGTTTACCATTCTTTACTTTAGCTTTGCATTACACACATAACTACAATAACAACTGCTTGAAAGGCCAACACATCGTATACAGTGATTTATAGACGAGAGTATTGTTAAAGTTGTCTTAGTCATTGTGTCATATATATTTCACTATCCATTAGAATCTATATCATACAAGAATGTTTGACATGAAGCAACATTTTTCTATAATTTTCCGAGATCAAATACAATGTAATTAAGATCAATATCAAGCTGGGGTATAGAGACACGAAGGATTTGTGAACAGTGTCTGGAAATCATTATTTCCGTGGGTTCCGTTTTCGCCATGATGCGCGGTACAGTCGTGATGTAACTGTCTTCAACTTGGTTGTTTATGCTATTTTAGTTTCAATTAAAGCAAACACGTGATAATGCTATCACGGACAATAATCGAGTATATATTCGCCGTGATCTCACCGACACGCTGTATTGGAATCACCTGCGGGGAATTATCTATCTTGCAGAATGCTAGGTTTGCGAGGGCATATGCAAATGATGGAGGTGAATTGACGGTAGTGCGCATTTAGCGCAATCCTTCAACATTTACCAGGCGGCCTTTGCTCTAACTCTGTCTTTTGTCACACCGGATGTACAGCGGGAAATTGTTGTCCATCAGCACGCAATGTCACGCACTTTAGAAACAACTGTGACCTACAGCTGCGATAAAAATGAATCAATCGCCGAGTTAAGCTCTGTATGAAAGTAGTTGGGAGCTAGCGAGTGTGAAAGGAAGAAATTTACATCAGTATCGGCGAGGCTAGAGGTCCCCGTTGTCCTAAATATAGCCTTTTCATTGAAGTTGACAAGCAGGCCAAGCTAGCTATGTTGAAGGAAAGTAATTCCAACAGAAAATCATATTGAATGAAACGTGGTACATTAAAGGTCGGCGATGCACAAACAGTGTACTGCCCGCACTTCTCACGATTGTGTATGTTTTTTTAATCATAATATAATCTCGCAGTGGGTGAATATCTACAATGTAATCCACCAACATAGAAGACACTTTGAAAATATATTGAATTATAGATATGACGTCACTTTCTTACCTCCTCCGTTTTTGTAGCATAAGTAGGGGAATCGCCATACGTTACCGAGACCAATGGCGAATCCGACACAGGAGAGCAAGAAATCGAATCTTCCAGTCCATTGACCACGGTCCGGAAGGTCAGGCTCGGTCTGTTCTGTCTTTTCATCCAGAGTGCATGTTACTTTGGTGTCATTGGTGTCCATTTGCACGACCGAGTTTTGCATTTCGAAACTTTGATCGTCTTTCCCATTGCCATCCTTCTCCCGATGCGTCAAAGTCATGCCGAAGGTTTGTCCGGTTCAGCTAAGCAACAACTTGCAGCAAAGTGCGTCACAATAACAAACAACAGACAGCTAACAAACGCCCACAGTTTCAAAGGTACGTATGGCAAGCCAAGCGCTGCACTGGACTGGTATCTCCGCTTTGCACGGTAACGTGGTACGGATTGTTTACTCAATGCACTGGCGCTTTCTTCAAAACCGAACAGTTTCTTGTTGAGGCAGTGACGTGATTACGAGCCACCAAGCAGAAGCAATTGGGTGGTAGCTTCAACGCAGGCGTCTTGGCTCGACCAATGATGTTGCAGACACACATACCATTCTCTGATGTAACACAATACATCACGTTCTATAGGGGACTGGAGACTTCGTGTTGCCGACACTGTCACAATCAAATATATCGACCAGACTTTAAGGACCTCATAATCTGGGCGAGCTGTCGGCTTAATACTATCTTAAAATTGAGACACGGCTTTAAACGACGACCATGACTCGACGCATGTTAAAAATCTGTTATTTGTGAATAAAAACGAAAGATATACGTAAAATATATATTACATGCACAAATTATATTTTATTTAATTTCATTCATGTGAGAGTGTGTAAGTGGCTATTGAAATAGGGGGCTGGAGAATGGATAAGTGGACAATAATAGAGTGCTGAAAATACCGAAGAACACGGACCACACCCTTGACACGAGAAAGGAAGAGCACACTCGACAGTGTCATCGTGCCTTCCTTCAAATGCATTGAATAGGCGTGATTGCCACGTAAATAGGCAGACATTAGGTGGATATTGTGCGTCATTTCATTTCATTTTACTGGTATGATTTATTTAACTTCAATAAACTCTATTTAACTGATAGAAGATGAATTATTTGACAGTAATCACAAGTTGAGCGCAAAGATCTTGGACTTGGCGAAGCCACCGTGACATACCCGGTAAAACAAACAGCCTGAACGAATTAAAAGTAAATAACCAACATCAGCTGAACACTTTTTGGAGATATCGATTGTGTTGTCAGTTGCAAGTATATAATTAACTCGAAATATAGGTACCGTACCCAATAACTTCTACTTCAAGTTCAATAAATCTGCTATAATGGCACTGTGGAAGATTGTTTCCATGCCTTCATGGACTAGCAGAGTCTGTGTGTGTAATGGACTCGGCGTGAGGTATCAATTAAAATAAATATAATTGGTTCGCTAGCATTCCAATAAACGAGCTAAACGACGTAAAGATAACGTGGGCTTTATGACACTACTGGCGTTATATTTCTATTAGCTTGATGGAGTGTGGTCCTAAACATCCCTGACCGACAATCAATACGGCTACAGTCACGGTGACTCCATGGCTCTGTGAGTTTCTCGGCCACGATATAACATCTGACAATGCATCATGTAAACGTAAATATGGATAGACGTTAACCCCCCCCACACCCCTTCGCTGTCGCTCGTCATAGATTCACTTTAGCATGCTGTCAAGTCCTGTAGCAAATGTTTAATCATCGAACAGCTTCGCAATTTAGTGATACTAATCACGGGAGATTGATTTAGCGAGAAAGCTGAGATTAACTATAATGCGCGGCCGCTAAAGATTTTGTCTTCACCTTTTTATGCGTCATCAAAGTATTACATCGAAAGGCAATTTTGCTAGGTCAAAGGTCAGCGGCTTTGTTCTCGATATACAACAAGGAGACTTTGTAGAGCGGATTTCATCGCAGACAACCAATCGCGATTTTTTTTACCGGAATGTGTCTACATTTCCATGTAAAAAGCTTAAAAATTACTTGAATGACGTTTGAGCTGATCTACTCAGTATGCCCAACGAAGAGTTCAAGCGACTACTAAAAGTAGGCCACATGCTATGTCAACAAGTATAACATTAAACGGACTTGCTTTCTACAGGAGGAAGGACTAGTAAACTAGTTTAAGAGAGGATTTTGTTTATTTACAGCAATTATATGATATAGTGTTCTCTATTAAAATGCCACCATGACGGTCGTGTTTCGACCTTCTAGAATGAAATCACTACAGCAGATAAGCACACTAGTCCGCGACAAACGCCTTATCTGGTCTAACGTTTCAGCTTTCGATTAGGCCTCGATAACCATCTTCACCACATTCTGACCATTTCCTACATCCGGAAACAAACTGTTTTTACAGACGATCTATGCTACACCTCTTTGGAGAACTGGGGAGAGTTACCCTTGTGATGCTGTAGTCGTGCATTTGTTTTCTCACTTCACCCTTTCTTCTAACATATTACACATAACAGTCGTACATATGACCACGGTTTTTAGTCTTCTAGTAACCGCGATATGACGTAACGCTGATTGAGACACTGCGGCAAACATCAGTCAGCATTTTGCTATGAGCTACGATTGATTGTTCACTTTTGACATTATGGCATATCAAAATAGAAACAAGATAATTAGAATGTCGAATATTATGTGTGATGTTGATTATATTCAATTTGGTTCCAGGCGAGAACATAATATGAATTATTCCACGAATGTCTCATGGTTTGTTGTGCATCGTGTCACATACACGGCGGAGTAGATAATATAATATATATGTTGCTATAGTTACAACAAACTAAGATAACAATTGGGATAAAGATTAACGGTCGTGGTCGTTTAAAACCATAGAATTATTCTCTTCAAATATTTTCATTCAAGAACAAAACTAACGCCGCTTCGAATCGTCATTGTCGTATAAAACGCAATTGCCCGTTACAGCATCACAAATAGTAGTCAATCTAATACAGGGATTGATTACAGTCGTGTCGAAAACAATGTCATTGTGGGAAGCAGCTAAACGAAGCTAATTTAGCAACACCCTTCTTTATTGAGTGTTAGCACCACTATAGTTAAGCACGCCCAATGCTTTCGTTTGTAATACGAAACGGAAATGAGGGCGCTTGTTTCAGATAGTATCTTCCACCAGGGAAAACATCATGATTGAAAGACTAATTAAGCGATAAATTCAATTTTCCGACTGGCAGGAACGCAGTAATAAATATGGCCACAGACACAAGCCTGAAACTCAAAGACACCAACCACGTGATTCGTTCAACTCTTGTTATTTTATTTTACACTCAATTTCATAATGCTTTTGATACAACTACGGATCCATTACATGTTGTACGGTTGTCGCGGATACAGCAATTACGGGAATGTTTTTTTTCTCATTTATAACACAAAGGGATATTGGTGGATTCTCATCAAACCATCAGTAAGGCGACATGAACACAGGAAGTAATCGATAAGATGTGGATACAAATTTGGGAATTATTTCTTGTACTTATAACTCAAAAACTTATGAATGAATTCACATACAATTCACAGGTCGCTCTTAGCTTAATACGGACCAATAAGTTTGAAGTAGAGATATGGTTGTGGATACCGTGTAGGTTTATTACAATATGTCGGGGGTATGCGCTACTTGGTGTAGGTCTGCGCTCTCCGAGTTATCTGTGCATTTGCACCGCTCGTCGGGGTTGCACATTTGTCGCAATCACGTCGCCTTCATTCGGATCGCGGGTTTATTGCTTTTCTGTTACGCTTGGATCGGATATTTGCATCGGAGACTTTAGCCATCGCAGTAGCAATCTAAACTTACCCTGGTCAAACACAAATACAGCCACCTAACTTATATAATAGCGCTTGTTTGTCAGACCATTTCTCCAATGAAAAGATTTGATACATATTAAATATGATAATATTAAATTACTAAGGTTGGGATAGTCTATTCGTTACATTATAGAGTGCAATATAAATGGGCGACGCAAACTAGATAAATGCGAGAGGTTGGAAGAGGTTCCAACGCAAAGTACCATCATATATTATGAGTTGATTTTTTTATTATGGAATGCCGTGACTGCTTTATGTACTACTCCACTTTATATTGTACAGTCGTCCAGAGTTTCATTCTGCAACTGCTATGTTGGTTGATACGTAATGGTAGATACGTGTCTTATAATGAGATGTGAATTAATCATGTGTTGTTAATTTGTAAAGACAAATGTAAACTATGACGAACGTACAACATTATACAGTATGTGTACAGTACAGCAAGTGTACAACAGAATATGTTAAATGTACACACAACCACATACACTGTTTACGCACCATCCAACATGACGTTTGCAAAAATAAAGCATAATAAAACTGTACATTACAAGAATGCGCATAAGTAAGTGACGTATTGAACTGCCCCAGACTATTATTCAAATATGACTTAAAAAATAACAGTCTGGTGAATTATGTCGAGCCGACGTAACACTTATCGCTCGGGTGTACTCGCTGTGTTTCCAAGAGCCAGGTCAAACTGGCACTATACAAAAGCAGAAAGCGACTATCCCAGGGTAGAATATGAAAAAAAAAAAAAAACCACGAGTTTCAGTCTGTACAAAAAATGTGCATCACATACGGTCAATTTGTGTTAAACGGATTTCTTTCGTTTCTGACGTCAACCTATTAGTGACGAAGTACTTTTTTGGAGTTACATGAGACGAATGGAATTGTCACATCATAACATAAGAAAGTCGTGATCTTTTTTTTATTTTATGTTGAATTCCTTGAATGGTCATGATTACGTGTGTAACGAATATATCGATAAGGACTATCACAAAGCACAACGCCACTCGAGAGTCAAACAGACACACATAATCCGATCCCCAAAACGCCATCTACGGTTAGTTTGATAGTCGGCAAATGTAACACAGAGAGAAATGATAACAGACAAAAAATACTGAAAAACCTCGCTTCGTTTAAATTAATTAACCACTCAGATATACTTAGTACTACGGCGCTGGTGCGTATTTTGTTGGTGGTTTATACGACGTCTCACCCAACCACTATTTGTCATGGAATTGTGGACACGTGGATATGACAGCCGTATTATATTACGGTAACCGCATATGATAAACAGATTGTACCGAGTTATTTGTTCATTTATAAGACAGAAACCTATTTTGCCACGTACCTACAGTGCATACAATTCGCATACATAATCAGCATGCAATAATTATCGGACAGATTCGTCAAATTGAACAGTCGTTTCAATGCTAGAAGGTTTTAAGCCATATATCCTATATTCCTGATCGAGGTTTAACATATACTTAGCGTGTTCACACGTGTGTTTCCTTACGCCGGCGTAAAATGTGGGCCATAAATATAGTGGAGTTTACCTTAATTGTACCAGTCATATAGAGTTTGGTTCATAAGAATTTTATACGATTTTAGTTAAACCCCGATGGATCTGTTGCTTGTTTGAACTAATCGTATTCTGTTATCATGAATTTTAACATTGACCACTATTGATGCTTGATTGCTGAAAGGAAATAAATAAATGATAAAGTACTGTAAAATGACTAATTTTCACTATTACGGGCATATTCAGTGGGTTTTATCACTTAGATAATGTGTTCTATGCTAAATTTTACATATGCACTGGCTTTTAATTTAGCGCATTTTCCAGTGAATAATTAATCATTTTACAGTACACAAAACATTACTCATAATTGTGCGCATTATCCAGTGGTATATTGCGCCCTTGAGTGAAATTCGGCGCAACTTCCACCGACGTAAATTGATTTATACAACTCTTTGTCTCATGTCCATTGTTCCAACCAAGTACTACGATTAATGTCAGTTTACTAGGAAAGGATTGTCAGAACGAGTTCGTTCTCATTACACTGGTGGTTGCTTACCAAACTTTGCATATATTTCGAAAATCCCAGCCTGGGCTCCGTTACAAAAAACATGTGACAGTAATCGAACACACATTCACACTTTTATGACTCGGGCAACATTGTTGACAGTCACTGAATAATCTCTCTCAATCATTCACACGGAATCACTGAGGACAAAGAAATTATCATCTTTTTTGAGATGTGAGCAACTGAATAGCTCGATTTAAAATCGCCCATAGTCTTAACGTTAGGGTGCAGTTTATTCTGAGGTTGGAGAGGATGTCTAGTCACGCAAATATTCTGACACCTTCTTTTTGTCATCGCATTTGACACAGTGTTGAACAAACGATTTTTATTTTTTTTTCAAGAAAGGAGAAAGGCGTTTACCTTCTAATATACTAGCTCAAAATAATTACATTTTATGTTATGAAACAGTAGAATTAAATACTACTTAACATAATGTTAATGGTTGTAAAAGAGGGCGCCATCGTTTTAGAGCGTAATGAAAAATATGCAAATTAACACCGGAATACGTCATTATCATCGTGCGCCCTCGAGTGTCAGAGGCCATCACTTGGACGATGACATGTTGGTGACTGCACGGCTTCCCTGAAAGTGCCTAGCTGTTTATCAGTTTTAGCCAGTATTTGACTTGCAAGATTTACAGTAGCCAAGAAGTCATGGCGCAAATGTGATTGACACCGTTTAAAATGTCTCAGTGTGACGTTCAGGTGGATATTTTTTGTTTTTTACTGGTCCAGGATTCGAATATATGGTTGTCGTTTGTTTTGGTGTCGTCTGCGTGCCTATATTGTCTACTGTACACAATCTCGTACACCTTATAACGCTTGTTGACATTCCGGGGTGAATTCTCGTCCACAAAAGTTTTCCATTCTTTCTTTTTCTTACCTTACATTTTCTTACCATAACGTGTACTTGCGTTCATTGAATACTAGTGCAAGGGTTCGTCGAGGTTTTGCTAAAAACTTTACACCTATCCAAAAACAAATATTGGTGGTTATTTTCTATTTCTGTCTTTAAGTCATTCATATAATTGGTTGTGATGTGGCTGTGAAACATGTCACAGTGACGTCGTCTCCTAATTTTACGCATAATATTTTACCGCCAAAACACAAATGGCGACGAAATTCTAGGTCACTCGCATCACAAATTCCAGAGACGCTGAAGTCACCAAACTGGCAATAAAGCATCCAATAAACATGGTTTGTTATTGACGTTCAACAGATATTTCAAATTATGCAATTATTTCCAACATAGCCTAAATGAGCTCGATTCGAGTTTTACATGCAAACTCGTATAACATGTACTGGTCGAGCATAATTGCAAAATGTACCACAGCTGAATAGATCCCACCGGAAAGCAATATTTTAATGTCCTATTCCAGCCTTAACAATATGGGATCTTTTTCTCAGTGGTCATCCATCTTGTTTAGGGATTTCTTGGAATATTCATATTTCTATTTACACAAAAGACATAAAGCAACGCATGCTCCACACATACAATTACGCTACATACGACAATAATGCAAACAACTATCAAACAATATCAGACGTTTCATATTACTAATATCTCTGGACATTCAAATGATCAATATCAGAGAACATGATAACCGGCTAATAATAATATTAAAAATACCGCCTGGAGGTCTGACAATCAGGGAATTAAGAATATCACCGACTCTAGCCTATTGCTCATATTAATGATAGAGCCACATGCATGTAGTAAATTACATGTAAAATAAATGTCTCTCGTAAAACGTCGGATTATCTAACAAACAAATAAGCAAACAAACATGCATTGTAAATATTACCAGTTTTGAGGAATAGTCGATGAATCTACATATTATTTATTATGTGTTGCTTCCGGCAATAATTCGACATATGCATATTCAAAACTGCTACCTTCAAAGTCATAAAATTTGGAGTTATGTTAAAACCCAAAATTCTGAATTCTTTCTAATTAATACTGGGTATAGTCTTACAGACAAGTTGACTAACCTTGATTTGGAATCTATACAACATGTTTTGATGGCGTTGGTCCCTGAGACCATTCATTGATAAATCTGTATGATGATATAATGTCATTATTGGGCATTTTTTTCTAATTTGCATAAATCCAAAATGGCAGCAATATTACCAATAATATCATCAAACCTTTCCCACAAGACTTGTTCAAAAGTTAGAATGGTATTTTTTCAGAATTCTGTCATTTGTATATTCAATTCCTGCATGACTTAGTATTCATATGAATCACTGTTGTTGTGTTCCTTCACTGATCATCAGAAAATACATACACTGTTTGTACATTTGTAATCTTCAAAAATAGTTAAAAACCTATTTAATTTTGAAATACAATGTATATTGGTTCTAATAAAGGAAATGTTATGTTATTGTATTGGTGAACATATCACCTTTCATGGTTCAACATCTATTTCTAAACAATATATCTCATATTGGCTGTCATCCCATTGTTGCAGCGGCTTTGTGTGACGTCCACAGAATATATACATGCTTGTTGTGTACTTGCACATGCTTTGTTGATACATGATACACTACATAAACAGTGAATCAGCGTCCAACCATCATTTAGTAGCAACACAGACATGGTAATATATCCACACAGCTAAACGTAACGTGTTGGTGTATAATATTTAAGTACATGTTTCCATACATGATCTTGCAAATGTGCACAATCTCAACAAACGCTTTTAGTGGTGGTAATGACTCAAGCTTTGGCATTTGTCCATTTGTCAACTTTGTTCACCCATGATTTCCGTTTTGCTTCCGACTCGTTGTTACATATAAGCTTTTGTAGTCTGTGTTGTTATGTCAGGTAGGAATACATGGAACACCATGTAATGACATTGAAGAACGTCTCACGCAAATGTGTCAGATATCGGGGAACAACTAGGTATGTTGTGGGCTACAGTTCTTACATGATTATGCGTGCTTCAAATAGTGAAGTATTAGGTGGTGGAAATCACAGTCACTTTTCAGCCCCCAAGTGACTGTGGTGGAAATGCATAAGAGTCATCTGCCATTATCTTATACATCTATTTCGCTTTCCGTTCATCACTGTGTAATCAATTGTATGTATGCAGACATGGAATGTTTAAATGATCACGCGATTGGTTCAATAGACATTCTTGTACCTTTAAAAAAAATGGAGATGGAGATATCAGTTTTTAGCTTTGCTGTCGACTTTGTCGAGCGGAGCTTGTCATACGAGTGATTGTCCGTCGTCGTTGTCCGTCGTCGTCCGTTGTCCGTGTCAATGTTTAACTTTTTCGACTTCTTCTTAAAAACTACAAGCCTGAATGCTTTGATACTTGGTGTTATTATACCTGGGGTAGACCTCTCTTAGATTTGTTCATTTCATGATGATATCTTCAATTCTTTAATTTTGGTGAATATTTTTGTAATTTTTGGTAAAAAGTGATATTTTCGACTTCTTGTTAAAAACCGCAAGTTTGATTGCT